ATATTCATATAAATATCATATTCGTGTTACAGTATAGTGGCTAAGTATCGTAATAATTCCTACTAAAGTCCAAATGGTACTTTTAACATTGTATAAAAATGTTTCGAAATAATATATTAATGGAAATATTTTTTTCGAAAATAATGCTTATCATATTTACGCGATATTATAAAATATTGCAATATTCATGGTGCTATAAAATTACTTTATAAAATTTCAATAAAAAGAACAATATCGAATGATTATTGGAATATCATTTTTCTGCCACAATCGAGTAAGAAATGAATTAGTTCTGCATAGAGGAGAAGAAAATTATTTAAATTATTTAAAATATTATATATATTAATCCCCCGTTTTCAATTACAATCAAAAAATTCAAGTTTCTTTCGAAATTTGAATTATTTTATTACGAGTAGATAATTAATTTTATATTTTAGGTATTGCGTTAAATAAACAGAGCTTATTTTGCCATTAAATCTGTAACAAATTGTCACGAACAATTTAGGTCTGTTAAAGATATTAAAAATATTTTTACTTAAAATAACACTAGCATAGTAGATACGTAGTAGTAATACGTATTTATAGCTTATAATATAACTATGACCCGAAATAAATAAATAAGCGAAAGAATATACATGATTTGCAAATAAAAATATTTGATAAATACCAAAGTTTCTATTTTTAATATGAAACCTACATATCAAGAATTTTTGGTTTCTTCTAAGTATCCCAAGCTTCTTCTTCGCATCCTGACATTTTTTTAAACACGATTCAAATCATTATCGTGTAAACTATTTTCTTTATTCCCTTATTTTGGTCATGGTTTCATTATTCATCGATTTCGTTATTTTATTTGTACATCGTTAATGTTGCATTTCATGTATTATAACAATAGTATGTTATCGCTGTGAGAGCAAAAAATGTATCTATTTGATTATGTGTATATATGTATATTTCTATTTATACTTTTGTAAAAATGTGTTTTATGCATTAGAAGATATCTAATGTTTGTCGAAGGCAAGATGGAAATTATTTTATTCTTCTATGGTTGATCGATTCATTCATTCGTTCGTTTTATTTCTCCAGGAATGTTTCGTTAATAATTTGAAAATCATTTTCTGTTTAAAATAATATTTTTCTAAAACTGATCTTCGGATCAAATAACAAAATGCAATAAAAGTTCCAGTAGAATGCAACAACAAAAATATTTCAATTTAATAAATAATTTAATAAATTTTCTCATGAATGAATTTTGAAATTAATAATGATTATTATCGTATTCTAAATTATTTCACGAATAATAAAATTATTAAACGTTATAGATAATTTTTTTGTCCTAAGTTACAGTTGGATGATTATTCTAATATGACAATTCAACATCTCACTATACTAATTGTAATGGAAAACGTTACACGATAATACACGCTTATTTTATGTCGATTAATTTTATACAGTATGATGATTCTAAAAAATTAAAATAAATTGAAATGTTTTTAATTGGAATATATTAAACGTAATAAGAAAATGATTTTCAAATAAATTTTAACCTCACATATTAATAGCAGTAAAATTACTTGGAATGGTTTTTTATTTATTTAAACATAAATTAAATGTCACAAATATAATTCATCGATAAAACACGATTAAAATTTCATAAATCATTTGTATCTACGATAAAAATTCATGGTCATTTAAATTAAAAAAAGAAAACTAAATCGAGATGAGTTTAACGAATGCAATTATTCAAATATTTTAATATTTCGTATTTCGTTGAAATTCAATCAAGTGCACCAATTTCGAGAATAAAGTGGTTTTAATATTTTATTTACAAATTTACCTATATTCCCATACCTGCAATCAGATTTCTATGGTAATACTAGAATTCCTTGCAGTGTATTTATTTAATCCCTGAATACGAATGTATAGCTTAATTGAACATTTATTTCGGTATATCCTTTGCACTCTAAGAATTCTTTATAACATTTTTATCGTTATCACGGACAATTTTGTAGCGGAAAACGTTCTAAAATTAAAAATTATTTCGAAAACGAAAAGAGAAGAAATTACGAATAATTTGTCGCAATGGTGCCAATGGAATGCACCAGGAACCTTTCCACCATTCGTCTAAGAATGGGAAAATCAAAACTTTGTAAATGCCAAAAAATTGTATTCGTTAAGCCTGTTTCCACTCTTACCGACACGCAAGTAGACTGAAAAAACTAGTTGCAGAAAATCGAATTGAAAAAATAAAAATTCACGATTCATCTCGTTCGCACCCTTCTCCACGGTGTTCCAGTGACGTTAAATAAAATGATATAAAAGCTGATAAAAAAAAACTCATGTTCAAAAGCATTCCCATGGTCGCAAATAAAAATATGAAATAAACGAAAGGAAAAAAGGAAAAAAGGAAAAAAATGAACACGGCTGTACCACGTCGTCCACGTTACCAACGATTTGCCAGAGTACATACCTGTATATGACCCAAGGTAAGGGGTCGATGGTGATTGCCAGGGATCTAGCTTAAATCTGTTGGGGCAAGGCAGAACGTGTGGAATATATCGAGAAGGGTGGGTCGATCAGCCGGCGGGAGCGATGGCATCCCGAATGAGAGTATGGGGTGAAATTGATGGAACACCGGTTGCTCGTCTTTAAAGCGAAATTCTGTGCACCGACGACAGGGTGAGTCACATTGTGCGCAAGGCCAGGACCAATCGTAGGAGCGGCGTTCCTGTCGGAGATGAGGTGCGACTGTTGCTATACGGTGTGGTGGTACAGGTGGGTGGTGGCAGGGCCGTCGCGGAAGGGGGTGCTCCGGGGGCGCACCGGGGGCTCTCTAGACTAGATCGATAATGCATCTCTGGGCGGGCGTAGTTCCTCTTAGTCAGCGGCGATCGCTCCTGCGGTCAGATATCCTTATTCGCTTGCTTCTGAAACTCGTGAGTATCGTCGCATTTCTAACCGTCACCAGCACCGCGTCCGGCAACGTCGACGAGTTTCAACCGTCTTCTTTTCTCTTTTCTCGCTTGCGTGTTCCGTTCCATTGCGTATTTTTCTTTTTCTTTAGCGCGCCTGACCGTTCTGCGGGGAAAAAAAGTGACGCGCGATCGAAGGCAGAGGCAGCATCGATTGCAACCTGATCTTCTCCGACCCTCCATGCTTTTTTTCTCCCCGCGTTCGCTCGCCGATGCTTCCAAACCGTTTTTTGCTCCGTCTTTAAGATTCTTCGTTTCGTGCTGCGTTTTATAGCTGCGTTCATTTCCTTAAGGTCACGGCTTTTCACGCGGCTTTATATATAACTTCGTACACCCGTGCGTCCAAGTGCCTCAGTTCTTCTTTCCTAGTCGGTTATTTCAGGATATATCCTTCTTTTCTTTACGTTTGTGTTTTTTTGCTTTCCGTTTACCAGATCTGTGTTTTTAATTGTTATTGCAAGCATCGTGACGGTTTGAAAGTGGAGAAATCGAAATTAGTGAACGCCGTGATAAGCTGGCCCCGGAATATAGAACGGTTCAATATACGGTTTACTCGTTTAAGGTGTTGCACCAACCGGGGCGGATTGTTGCTCTTGCAACCGCCCGGAAGCTTCTACAGTCGGAAATGAATGTGACCAGCTATCGATTTTCAAGTGTTCAATAGCCAAGTCTGAACTTTTTTAGGTAATTCTATGTCAAAGCTTTCTCTGTTCCTTTTTTCTTTCTTCTTACATCTCTGTCCACAATTTTTCTTTTAAAATTAATATACTTTATTTCGTATCTTATTTACTTTGATCAATATTTTGTCAAGTACACGATATATTAGAGTTACTTTTCACGTTACCCGTTTATTTCAGACACGTTAGATTTTGGTCAGAAAGTTTGTAACGTTAGCGACTAATTTAAATTTGTTATGCAGTTATTATTAACCCCTTGAACTACGATGTAATTACAACGATTGCGCATGGAAAAAGTGTTTGATCTATTTCATTCGCAGAAAAGTTGTGCTAAAATTTTAGAATTCCTTGAAATTTTTTCAAAATATAAGATACAAGTGATATAAATGTAAGTGATAAGTTAGACTCGACGTTGTAGTGCAAAGGGTTTAAAAAGATTATTTGTACTTAAAAAGATTGTTAGCACGAGAAGTTACAATTGTCTATGTAAAAAAAGAGGAAAAAAAGATTCTTTAAAAAAAAAAACAGGTTCATTTTTAACTGTGAGATATTCTTGAAATTAATCAATAACAATTCGTTATGTACTTCGAAATTCGATTAAAATATAAATATCAATTATTTTTTACAATATCCATATAGATTGGAAAAAATTTATTTATTAAACGAATTAATTAGTGTTCAGAATTTATCGAACTTACGTTACTTGTTTTTGTAATTCCTCTTTTGAAAAATTATTAGCAATTTGGCTTAGAAAGAAATACCGCAGAAGACTTGCCGTAGAAAATGAAGCAAAGTATAATTTTATTTCGCTATTATACAATTTATTTCTTATACTATATACTTCATGCATAACAGCTATTATGCTACTATCGTTATTCAAACGCCAAAGCTGTTTTTCGTAATAATTCAATTAGCGTATTTATCTGTTGTAACACGCTTAATTCTATTATTCTGTTATTACAGTTGAATTTATTAACATTTTGAATTATTTATCGTCGGTATGAATCGTTGACCTTTCGTTTCTTACGAATAATTTACGATACATAATTAATCGTTTACCCGATGTATACTTTGTATCTCGCGAATTAAGCGTTCTATTTACAGTTTATCGATTGGTTTCGTGCAAATGTAATCATTTTTTCGACCAAGTCGAAATGGACGTAGTAAAGGAAATCTTAACCGTGGCTTCTGCTTTCTCGTCGCTTGTAATATACTACACGTTCAAGAAACATCGACGTGTATCTTTATTTCGTTTTATTTTACCCGATACAATTTTATACGTATATATTTAACGATATTGCGATTTATATCTCGTAACAACGATAATTTCATTGTCGATCATTCTTTGCAGAACCTCTTCAGCCTGCACTGATTCGCGAATCGGATAATGTAGCAGACAGCGAAGATTCCGAAGACGAGTGGGACTACTATCGCATTGATCCAAACAAAGAGAAGAACTCTGCGACATCTGTTGGCGAACCGCAGGAAACGAGAAGTGTGGAAGAAACCGCGACATCAGAGCTACCTGTCCAAGATACCGAGTCGAAAATCCAGTCCGAAGGCATAGAGGAGGATATTAAATGCGAAAGTCCGAAAGAGGAATCGCCCGAGGTTATTAACACAGAGGTATCTTGAATTTGTCTTATGCTTATTACTCGTTAGCGTCACTCTAGCATTCGCGAAGCCTCGAGGGGAATGTTATTTTGAAAATTAGGTTGAAACTGCGTACAAGTTGACAAAATACTAATGGTACCTATTAATATTTACAATTTTAACCCGTTAACTGGACCAGTTCCCAATCAGAAACATCTGCTGTATACATATTTGGAAGTGGCTGTCTTATTTTAATGTTAATATAATTATATAAGATGACAGATTGTCATATCGTTTGATTAACATATTGCTGCCCTACGATAAAATAAGTATATGGTTTTGATAGTCTCGATGATAATAATTGACTATTAATGGCGATGAGAGTCAATAGACCAATGGTGCTTTATTATTCGAAAAAAAGTAACAAGAGATCTTATATTTAGCATTGATGATTAATAGAGTATAAATCGATTTGATACAATATATTAAGTATCGTTAACTATATTTGAATGTATTTTTTTCCGAATCCAGTACAAAAAATTCGAATAATTAGGAAACGTGAAAAAATTTCATTTTTTCTTCGATTAAATTTTCAAAATAATTGCATTTTAAAATCTATCTAAAATAATAACTTTATTTAATATACATAAAAGAAGAATTACTTTAAAAAGATTATCTTCTCTTAGAAAGATCTTTATTACGCTTAAGTAGTATTATTTACACGTGTAATACTATTTATAGGTACATAATACCTGTAATAGAGTTCTAACGTTAAAATGTTAGTTGATTTATAACGTTAAATTTAAGATTCGTATAAATTAAACATTCAATGGCAAGCCTCGAAGCTATACGATTCGTTGTTAGAGATACTAATAAAATGAAGGAAATAATAGTGTGATCGATTTACGCGTCGAGATAAATTTAGAATATATTTTTATCTCTTTCCGTCATTATGATATTGCTGTTAGAACGATTTTGCCTGATACATTTTTAGCCCTGGTCTCCTTCAGTTATCAATCGTTTAGACTATTTTGAGTCAGATCAAAACCAAATATACTTCTCAGATAATATACGAGCGCAATTTTACAAATATTTTGCTTATCCTATGATTCAACTTTTCCCTATAATTCAACTTTTTCCACCGCTTCAACACGTAACATTAATTTTTCTAACGGCAAATAATTCTTCACAACTAGATTAACGCCGAGGACAAAACAGAAGATCTGGAGACAGTGGAAAAATCTTGCGCAGAGGAGCAAGAAAAGCCGAAAGACATGGATTTTCAACTGAATCCTAACGCAGCTGAATTTATACCTGTTTCACCACAATTAATAGGAACCACGATGAATCTTGTCAAGGATTATCCCGTTTCTGGATCACCGTTCAAGCAAGTACCACAAATGGACGACATTCAAGTGCCCAGTCAGAGCGAATTCGAAAAAGAAGTGTGCCAGAGACCAAGAGAAGTTGAAACTGAGGACAAGGAATACCAAAACGGTGATAAACAGTCGCGCCAGCGTAACTTCTGCACCGATTTCACAGATTTCTCGTCTGATCGACAATATAGTAATATGGACAATTCCGAAGTTTCATCGATGAAAGCTGAATTTGGAGATGAATCCATAGCTAGTTTCTTGACGGCAAATGAATCCCACAGAACAGGTACCTCTGCGATAGATGAGTCGTTTTCGAGCTCTGACCGTGAATACGACATTGCCAAGGACCCGATGGCCATGTCCTTTACACCTAGCGATTTCGAAGCAGCATTCGACAAAGGTGTCGACCTGAACGCTGTTCATAATTTGAGCAATACCGATTTGGAAGAACGAAACGGTATCATAGACAAAGAAGAGGACAGACTCATTATAGAATTGCCTAACTTACAAACTGGCTCTGCCAATTTAATAATTGTACCTAGTACTGCAGAGTCAGCAGATAAGTCAACATTACCAGAAGAAACCGCGGAATTCGTGAACCTGTCTTCGCAACAGGAAGATAACGAAGATACTTTCATCGAGCACGCGGATGAATCAAAGATCAGCACGGACGACTTCCTAAACGTGCAATCAGATTCTGTTCAACTGGAACAGCAAGAAACTGGCCAATACGATCACTCTCCTTTGACTGAGAATTATTCTGCTGAATTTGAGTCGGAAAAAGAAGCCATATCCGTTGATAATGAACAACCGCTATCACCTTCCAGCGTTGACATAGACGAAACGAAACCCATAGACGAAGCGAGCGAGGATGCGGCTGTTCCTAGTAGTGATCTCCAGAAAGAAATTTGCTCGAACGAAGCTGACACTCCTTCGTCGATGTCACCAGTCCCTGATGCAATGGAAAGTGATTTAACAGCTCCCGTGGAGAGTACAGAGGTTCAGTCTTCCATACCAACACAAGTCTCATTGCATCCGACAGCGCCAGAGTTCTTCATGCCTGGACAGTATAATCTACAATCCTTTGGTATCGAGAGCAGTAACGAAGTTTGTCAATTAACGAAAGAAGTAACCGATGTTAGTTCAACGTCACAGCCGGAAATAATTGATACTTATCAAGCATATTCGATAGAAACCGGTAGTGTGTTCGAAGCAGTTAAGAAAGATTCGATTCCAGATATGCAATTCGATAAAATGGAAGCCGATGAACTAGTGTGCGCGAATCCACCAATTCAAATGAATTTATTAGATTTCGACGAAGAGCAAGTTTGCATGAAACCACTTCAGATCCAATGCGAACTGACACCACCTCTTTCTCCCGAAGAAGATAAAGAAAAACTTATCGACGATATTACTTGTCCCATCGATTCGACTGTCGTTACTGAACAAAAATCGGAAGTAATCGAATCGAAAGAAGTTCTAGACGAGACGACTGTTGTCGGTGTTACCGCGGAACAAGTAGTAAAAGCGATGGAGGAATCGGTAGAACCAACGATACCAGAAACAGAGAAAATACCAACCGAGGACGTAACTGTTATCGATGATACCGCGGGGGAAGTAATAAAAGCGATGGAGGAATCAGTAGAACCAACGATGCCAGAAACAGAGGAAACAGCAGCAAAAGACATAACTGTTATCGATGATGTCGCAGAGCAATCGGTAAAAGCGATGGAGGAACCATCAAAACTAATAATACCAGAAACAGAGGAAACTACAGCACGAGACGTAACAGTTATCGATGATGTCGCGGAACAACTAGTGAAAACGGTAGAGGAACCAATAGAATCAACGATGCCAGAAACAGAGGAAATAGCAGCACGAGACGTAACTGTTATCGATGATATTGCGGAACAAACAGTAAGGACGATGGAGAAACCGACAGAACCAACGATACCGGAAACAGAGGAAACCACAGCACGAGACGTAACTGTTGTCGATGATATCGCGGAACAAGTAGTAAAAGCGATGAAGGAACCAATAGAATCAACGATACCAGAAACAGAGGAAACAACAGCACGAGACGTAACTGTTACAGCTGATATCCCGGAACAAGTAGTAAAAATGATGGAGGAACCAATAGAACCAACGATACCAGAAATAAGGGAAACAGCAGCACGAGATGTGGATTTAATAAAAGAAGCTACTTTGAATTTGTCCGATTCTATGCAGGAATTCACAGGTTTGGAGAATCAATTACAGCCCAAAGAAGAAGAAGAAGAAATCTTCAAACCCAAGATTGTCGAAGACCTTCAAGAAGAAATTGTAAAGAAACAGGAATTGAAAGACGTCATAGAATCAGAGAAACCCTCGGAACCTGTAATCGATGAACTGTGTATGATACCAGATAAGAAGGAGGTTCAAGAACCTCTGCAAGAATTCAAGGAACCGGAAATCAAAGAATCAGAAATTGATCTATTAAAATACGGGGAACCGGAAATGGAGCAAAAGATCGAGCATTTGGAAATCAAAGAACCAACAGTTCAACAATTTGAGGTTGATGAGCTACAAATCAAAGAGCCAGAAGTTAAAGAGCCAGAAGTTAAGGAAATAGAAATTAAAGAACCAGAAGTTAAAGAACCAGAAGTTGAAGTTAAAGAGCCAGAAGTTAAAGAGCTAGAAGTTAAAGAATCAGAAGTTAAAGAGTCAGAAGTTAAAGAGCTAGAAGTTAAAGAGTCAGAAGTTAAAGAGTCAGAAGTTAAAGAGTCAGAAGTAGAAAAGGTGGTCGAAGTCTCAGAAAACAAAGTCATTGAAGGAGCTGTACTTGCAGCAGCCGCAACTACAGCAGTCGCAGCAAGTGCAATTGCAGCACAAAGCAAAACGAAAGCAAAACCGTCTACTACGAAATCAACGAAAAGTACGATGTCCAAAGCACCTAAATCAACGCAAACGTCTCCCTCGAAAACCGCAGCTTACGCGACACGATCGTCGACAACGACGACAGCAGCAGCAGCAGCAGCGAAAAAGCCATCAACTACTGCGCCCTCTCGTCCAAAAGACCTAGACGCTCCGAAGAAGTCGACACTTTTAGCCACGACAACTAGCAAGCCATCAGTTCCGAAGTCCTCTCCGAAAGTAACGACATCGACTGCTGCAGCGAAGCCAGCGAGCAAAGCCAACGTCGGTACTGCTCCTAAACCAAAAGCTGCCACGACATCAACTCCTTTCAAATCATCAGTTACCGACAAGAAACCAACCGCGAACGGCGACATAAAGTCTCTAAGCAAACCAGCCGCAACCAAACCTCCTACGAAGTCACCATCAGCGACCAAAACTACGCTAGTCAAAACATCTACTACGCGAATGTCCAGTGGAACAACGGCAACGACGAAGTTAAGACCCACTTCTGCCAGTATGACCACAAAATCTAGCACAGCTGCGAAACCAAGCGCTTCTCCCACATCTACTGCCACCTCTGCCAACGCAACAGCCAAGGCTAGACCGAAAACGGCTCCAGCCGCTGCAACCACACCGAAAACTCGCATGTCCTCCACGAAGGCTCCGATAATAGACAAACAAGTAAAGGAAACAGCCAACAAACAGATTTCCATGGGGCGAACTAGCACCGCTTCTGCAAAGACGACCCGTTTGTCTGCGGTCAGTTCAACCGCGAGCACGACTACGATGAAACGCTTGTCCTCAGCGTCGAAGACCACCACGGCGGCATCATCGAATAACAAGTCTACAACGGTATCGAAAACTTCCAAGACCTCGTTGAGCAGAAAAACAACGTCTGACAAAGGGAAAGTTATTGAAAACGGCGTATCCGAAAACGTTGAGATAACTGTAACGATCGAGGATGTGCCGAAGAAAGACCTGTCGCCAGTGATCGCTCCAAACGACAACCAACTGATCCACGAAATGAGTTCCGATTGAATTAGCGGCACACGAGACCGGTTTCGATCTTAGCTTTATGTCAATCGTACGTTACGCACCGATAAACGTTACTCTTTCTTTATCAGAAAGAGAACATCAAAACATCCGCTAAAAAGTAGTTTCTTAGGAAATATATAACGAACCGGAAAGAGTTTTTACTATAATTAACGTAAAATATATAAAATATAATATATTAATGTGTATATGTACCGATGAAGTAATGAGTCTGTTTATCTATATTGGCGAAGAGAGAAAATGTGCGAGAGAATGAGAGCGAGTATGAGAGAAAGAATGAGTGACAGAGAGAGAGAGGGGGGGGGGGCGAGAAAAAGAGAGAGAGCGCGCGAGAGAGCGAGGGTGTGTGTAAGAGAGAGAATATACACTAAAAAAAGAAAAAGAAAAAACAAAATATATGCTATCGCTTTTAACTGCTTCGATCGTGCTGGAAATGTGATGTCTCGCTGGAAGCAAAAAATATCTAATAGAGAGAGATTCGAGGGGTAGAAAAAAGGAGAAGTGAGAAACGTGAATAATTAAAAGTGAAGGAAAATATCGATTGTTTTTGTAAATAAATCGACGCATTTCCACTAGCGGTCTCTGATATTAGCCGAAGGGGAGTGTTCACACGTGGTGCTGTAACTGGCCTGTAAACATGACATTTACACACGCAGCGCAGGTCCATCAAGTAGCCAACAGATAAAAATTCGGGATTCGGAGGGAGTGTTACGTCACGCTTGACTATGCGAGTCGGTTTCTTAACATATTCTTAACGTAAAACACGAAACTGAACGGTTTTTTTTATACTTTTTAATTTTATATGTGCATTATACTTGATAATAATTAATCATCGTTCTTTTTATAAAGAAGACTTTACATTACACATTTAACACATGTGTGTATCTGCAAACACATGCGAAGAAACATGTATACCTACACGTGTCTTATGTTTACATCCACACACAGAAAATGTGAACGACAGGTACCATATATTTATTTTTTTTTTTTTGTTTGTTCCTATTTCGAAGTATAGTGCGAGAGAATATTATAAACTCATCATTACTACTATTCTTATGTATTTTTTATCCATCTATGTACAGCACTTCTATGAGTTAATGTGATACATATTATATTAAATAAATTCGAACAAGTACGAAACGAAAGAACAATTTATGTGTGTAACGCTAAAGCGAAAACTAACTAGATGCTGAGGAGAGATGCGAGCAACGATGAAAAGAGAGAGATTTACCAAGGAAGACAAAATGATCACGATATAAGAAAAAATCTACGACCCTATTTTGTCCATTTCGATTGTCCAGTTTTAAAGGTGCGACTGATTCAAGGACATGTATTCCGATGATCTTTATTATCATTAAACGATACGACTAAACGAACAAAGAAAATTTTTAACTAATTATAACGGATTCGTGAAATTTTTAACTGCCAAAATAACGTTACCGTGTAAAAGAAAGAGAACCCAGTTCTTTTCTCTATCTTTATTCCTTACTGTATCTATTTTGCCTCTGTTATTTCTTTTATACACAAAAGTACTTACAATGTTTATACACACGTACGTATAAAACGAATTCGTCGTTCTTTGTATTTGGTAATTTATAACTGAAAAAAGTGCATTATTTTAGAAAAGACGATGTCATTCAAATTTATTTTATTTCAAACGATACGATGAAAAATTGACGATTTTGAAACTTGAACTTCGAAAAATATTCTTATTGCATTTGTTGCGTTGCGAATTATTAAATAAAGTTTACGTAAACAATATTATTGTTTTTGTCCGTTGTGTCAAACTTTTATTCAAAATTTCCAAAATCTGTTATCATTTCGAAGAAAAAAATCATGGTGAAGGAGAGAAACTTGAGGTGAAATCATGAAAAAGCTTTTATTTTTAGTTAACGTAAAAAAAATGATATTATTTGTTTATCTAAATATTTGTATTTTAGAGCCTCTTGTATGTACGTGTTGCCTTGAGGTCGCCCTTGTTCATAGACAGATACTGAAAAAAAAAACATAAATCACTGTGTTGTATACTACGTAACGATATATTAAGTATCAGTTATAATTAAACATGTATTTCTTTTTAGGTATTTACACGTTTGTGATGTAATATAAGCAAAGAGTTCTAAATATTATATGTTTACAAAATAGGTTTAGAAACTTTAAAAAATCTCTCGTTAAAAAAAAGTCGATTTTTTATTCCGATTTTTATTGTTCTAATTTGTGCATATTATACAATTTTGAACTGAGTGGCAATAACGATATCTACAGAGTTTTCATTGTCTAATAAAAATGTGTATCGATAAGGAAGAGGAGGTTTACGATATATTCACGAAATGACAGCCAGTGCTTTAACTCGTTTGCAGCCGCTGACGTAGAATCACGTCGTTTTATGAAATAGCAAAACAATTTGAAAAACGATACGAAGCTGTAAACGAACGTAAAACTCTTATTCAAGCATTCTTAATGTAACAGTTAAGATTTTTACGAATAACTATTATATATTCCAAGCTATTACAGATAAATATAAGTATGAATTTTAAAATAAATTTTATAGCTCAACATTTACTCTGTCGATAATAGTAGCCTATAGTAACCGGCTTTAGACTTACTCCCACTGAAGTAACTTTTAATCTTTAGGGAAATGAGAAAAGTGCGGCTGCGAAAGTGTTAGTTATGAATTTTACGACATATCATATAATAGTGTTTTAACGTATTTTGGCAGATTTCCTTAGATTTAATCTCACATTTTGTATGTGTAATCAAATGCTTCTGCGATTAAATCTTGTTTTAATTTTTTTAATATGATATAAGATATACTAGGAAAGAAAAGAAAGTACTTACTACTTTCATCTCGGTATCCAAGAATTCGTACACTCGGATGACTTTGAGTGTGTCGCTAACTTGCGTTTCCGTTCTGAAGTTGTTACCATCCAGTGTCGTGACGCTCTACAATAATAAAAGGTATAGTTTATTTCGTGAAAGTTCATATTTATGTCGATACTGCAGATAACTTACATTATCAACGATACGAATGAGACAAATACATAATCCACTGATGAATAAGTATTAGAATTTAAATTTCGATATAACAATCGTTAATTATCGATGTTTCTTTCCTTGCGTGATACATTTGGTCAAATTAATGAAACGATACGTTAATACGGTTAATTAATTTATTATGAAAGAAAATAATCCTAAAAATGGTTTCCTATTAAAATATACTTTAAAAACAAATGACGTCGAATAGCTACTTTAACTCTATACCAAATTGTTATCAAATTCCTGCCCTACCGCAAATTTCAGTTACATGCTTCAGAAGACGAACATCCTGTTATTAGAAATACGATAAATTCGTATTCAAAAACATTCTTGTTTTCTATACATGATAGTATCATTAATGTTTTGTTCATCCAATTTTATCATAGACAGTAGAATTTATCTTTACCGGGTACTATAAATCCGTTTCGATATTATATCAGTTAAATCATAAAAACCGCCGCAGGTAACGAATAATTTATCTGTCGCGATAAACATTCAGTCACCAAATTTTATCGAAATCTCTTATCGATCACACGATACTGCACAGCTTTCAAGATAATCTAAAATTGAAATATTTTTTTGACGATTTAGAAACTCGAGTAAGGAACGATCGTGGAACTCAATTTGCAATTATTCCCCGATTGATATTTCCGTTTAGCTTAGAAAAGAACCATTGATTCAAACCGAACTAATTTATTCGCTTTAAGTTCGTTAATTGTACGGTAGATAATTTATCATATTAGCACGATTAATCACACAAACCTTGAACTTGCGGTCAGAAGAGGGCAGCTTCTCCTCGTAAGGTTCGTTCAACTTGAAGGAAGCTGTAGTAGTTCTGTCGCCGCTGGTAACTACGATGGTCCATTGATCGCCGTTCCTCTGTACATCAATCAAGGGTTTCGCTTGTAAGAAAGGATTCACGAGTTCCGCATGGCCCAAAGCTTTCATGAATTCCTCGAAGTTCTCATTGGAGACGTATTGGTATTTGCCGACGATTTGCACCATTTTTGAACCGGAGTTTTATTCTTCGATCGTTTCGCACGAAAGGAAAAGGTAGTGTCTAACACGTTTCACGTGGCTGTTGCTAGCAGCGAATAGCTGGTTCTCGCAGTGACCGCTGCTTTTATAAGATCATTGAGGGCACTTGTAAACCCATGCGCGCGTATGTGTGAATTCGCATAGCTGTATCGGACAATCTACGATCGGCCAGGACAAGTGTCGAACAGATTATCGTGAACCCGGTCGGCGAACCGGTGATTCCGCTTTGTCATTTTAGCAACACCCTCACGCTTTCCTCTTACCATCAAATTAACCGAACTGGATTATCGCGGAAAGGAAATTCGGATTTACCGACATCACCATGCCGATAATATCGGTGGGAAAGATTCGATGATGCTTAGTTACAAATCGTTCCGCAGCCATGTAAATGTATCGCGAAATAAGGAAACGTGATATTCATACGAATTTACGATCGAGATAAATAAATAAAATCCCCCTTATTAGGAAACGCTATATCTACAAATTTTCTGGAACAAATAATTCAACGTAATAACGAATCATTTTTTTAGATTAATCGAAATCGCTTGACGTAAAACGAAATTCACTAGAACAGATTAACGCAACGAAATTCGATGAATGTGTACATGGCATAGAATCATCGAGAAGAACACCTTCGTAAAGAAACACCTCGTTGAAGGCGGTAGGTCCAATGCAATCTGTCGATTGCAGTTCGTCGATCTGTTAATTCAAGTAAGTACTTTAATTAGACAATTAATGTAGCGCATTAGCAAATTGGACCAACTAGTTGTGATTGACGACTGGGGTCTACAAATACGGATAGGAAAACGGAAGCATTTTCATTGGAATTCGGAATGATGGAAACAAAACTTGGATCAGATGTATCGAAAGGGTTTTTTCCAATAACCATGTATCGAAAGATCGATCTATCGATGTTGATTTCGCGTTATCGCCAGATAAGTCAAAAAACAGCCGATTCAATCGAAGGTCACAAAAAGGAAACGCGACTTCTTTTGTCAAAAGGAATATGACAGGGTTCGACGCAGAGTTTATTCCAACAGGACGGCTGTTCTCTACGATACAAGCTGTCTGTGATTTTAATAAAGCACGTAGCAGAGGCAAGTGTTGGTATGTACGTACGTATGTACGTATATGAATTCAAGTGGACGCGCGCGCTTAATCGTAAAATGTAGCCTGTGTTGCCAAGGCACATTCAACGCGGTCAGGCCATTTATTGGCTAGCTACGCCGATTCTAATGCACTTCTTCTCGTAAAAATATAGCAACGTACGTGGCCTTTTATTCAACGTACATTATCCCATTAGCTTCCGCACTTTTCTGTCAAGTAATAGCAGATTGACCACGACTTTCGTGACGACTCGTTTCAAGACTGTTGAAGTTAAAATGGCTCTCTGAATTTTCTGCTCCTATTTGCGCGCTCGCGCGCTTTCGTCTTTGCTTATGCTACTATTGCACGAGTAATAAAAATACACGTAAATGAGAAAGTGAGAAATAGCATATGTAGATTTTTTCAGATATTCATGAAAAATTAGGCAAATTTTTATCGAGTTTAAAATTCCTAACATTTTGCAACTTTAACAAAAATTCTTGTGCTTGTTAATTAAGTTGTTAATTTAAACACGTAGATGTTAAATAGATTAAATTCCCAATTTAATATAATGAACATTCGCTGACCCAAAATTTCAATCGACAAAGATTATTTCGTTGATTATTAACCACCTTATGTTACGATTTCGATGTTACAATGTTACAACAGCCTCGGCGCCTATAACCGTCCTAATCATGATCTCTCTTCTAATTTTTATCGAATTATCATATTGAACTTTGTTATGAATCGAATTATCTTTTTAATCAATAAAACGTCCGCTGCAAGATTAAACCCAATTACATCTTATATATTTACTTATGTAATATTCTAAAGCAAACCTACTTCATGTAATCGTTAAATCAAAATGATTAAACAATAAACATATTATTAAGTATTATGTATTTATGAAGTATATCCTGACAAATTTCAAAGTGAAAGATCTTTGAGTTATAAATAAAACATGTACAAGTAATTATACACTTGAAGAGTATAAAAGCAATTGAAAAAAAAATAATGATAAATAAAAAAGGTAAGTATAAAATCACAATTAATCCTATAAAATGATTCACAAATAATATACATATTTTTCAAACATTCATTTGAAATATATTTTCTTTAAATACATTTCAACAGGCAACCTGCAGAAATAATTAATACTACCAAGTATTTCAATTTAATTTGAATTTAATTTCAAATTCAATTTTTCTTTTTATGTATGTATATATGCATATATTTCTGTCTTTTACCTTTTACCTTATCTTTTCTAATTCATTATATTCAAAATCATCACACTCCTCATTCCTTAAGTGTACATCCCTGATTGTTGTCGGTAAAATTTAAAAGTTTGATATCGTTAAAACTGCCGATACATTATCATTATAAGATTCAAGAACACCTGTTTTCTTCACGTTCATCCGTTTATGAAATAAATTATCAAGGATATTCAAAATATATAAAATATACAATATATACAATATATATATATTAATAAATTATATAATAAACATAACGATTTAAATAAGTAAAAAGTAAAAAGAATTAACACTTAAACCAATGTGAATTTTTTAGTTTAAACCTTCGAAGAAGGAATATCAAAATTCTAAGCAACTATAATTCAAAGGACTCCATGGGACTAGTGTTCAAAAGCAGTTTCTCCCATTAACATCCCCAACGACGAATTTTATGAATTCGTTCAAAATAATTAAATGAATATTTTATTTCATTTCAATCGATACCATACAATCAAGAACAATAAAATTAGTGTCAGTTATACTATTCTACTTCTACTTATACTGTTCATTTCTGACGAAAATGTTAAGTATCTTATCTTTAAATTTTGAATCTGATAAAAGATTTGCTCCATTATATAAGGTCTTGAGAAATAAATGTTCAATGTCAAGAGAAATTTTAAAATTATTTTCAACATAAAAATACCACTATACTTCTTACAATGAAACAGTAAAGGAAAAAATATTTCTATTTATCCAATAAAGATTTTATCCCGTGTAACAAATATACATACTTTATTATATCGCATATGTACTTTATTACATTGTATATGTACTTTATTATACTATACATCTATATCACCTATATCATCTATATTACACTATAGATCTAAATTTACGAGTGTTCAATCGATTCGTATATTTATTTTTTCTTTTATTTCGTAACATTAACCATAAAGATATATAGGCAAGTAACCAGATCGCGAATAATGGATCTAAACCTCAGAGGTTAGTTTAACCACCTCTCTACCGAACGAGAATCTAGATCAGAATTTTTACTTAGTACTGTGAAATCGTCGTCGATCTACCTTAATTTATCGATAAAATTCTTGATTTTGAAATCGAAAAAGAAAATCGTTAGAGCCGGATGATTAACAACTAATCCAATGAATTATAAAAAATGACGACTGTTAAAGTAACTTCAATAAGAGATCGCAGTTTTGGTCCTTCTCGCCAGAGGGATGATTGCCACTCGAGACTTAGGGCTCGGGGTTTCGGAGACATAAGCACGGCCTTGAATTGACAGCTAATTGCCAGTGATGACCATACATCAAAGGCCTAGACGATCGGAGGTCACGTGATCTTCCGTTTCATATGGGATGAATGAGCTTATTCCCATTAAGAACACACCAGTCGACGTACACATATGCATGCACGTAGTACCTTTCGCAGTACTCGACGGTCAATTGAACTTGTTGTAAGTGCTTTCTTCTGTTCATCGGTGCAAATCACACGATCGATATCATCAACCGCATCCTGAGGTGGGTTCGTGGCAAAACGGACCATATGAATCGCTTTCACTAACTTCGTATCATGAACAGGCAATTTTTCGTTTACACCTTGAAGCCCTGCCTACAGGATTATTTCCCCTCTTTTCATTTATTGCTTACTAACTTTCATCGCTTTCCGTTACCACTGTGTTTAGTATAATTACTAGAATTTTTTTTTTTTTTGTAAATAATAACTGGTAAAATTGATCATTAGCCGCTTAGGGAAATAAACGATGTCTATCATTTTCTATTCTTTCAAAATGAAAAACTCGGAATTTTTATTTTATAATTTGTATAAGTTCTAGGAAATAAAAATAATTGAAAATGATTATTTATATTACCAAGTGACTTTCGATAAATTTATTTATTATTCTGCTTTTTATTTGTTATCGAAAAAATTCAAGATAGCAACAGATTTTAATATTTAGAAAATATACATGTACGTAATAAATATTTGTTAAAGGTAATTAAAATAGAGATAATAACGATTTATTTCCTCTTGAATAAATATACTTAATAAGCTTTTCTTAAATCATAGTAATCGGCATCCAAAAACACCGAAAATTTTATAATTTTATAATTGTTTACAAAACCATTCGAGGTTATCTCGAAAATTTTACATAATTAAATTCAACACAATCGAGAAATCGGTTTATAAATTTTACAATTCATTCTTTATCCATGATCAGATCCACGATTAAAAATTATTAATACAGTATAATGTATGAAATGTTATCTGTATACTTGAATCAGATAGCATTTTCTTTTAATGTATCGCTGTGACAATAAATGATTCTTGGCGTTCATTTCGACAAGATTTAACATAACCTTTAGAACTTCCTAATACAAGTCATAGTAAAATAAAATAATAGATAAGATCACATAAAATATTTATTTAAATAAAATTATGCAATATGTGTCAACAATATTAAAATTATAGACTTTAAGGATTTACCCAAATATCCAATGTTTCACAAAAATACTTAAATTAAAAATATTACTTCCTTTTCCTATTATCGTATATTATATCATGATTGCAAACAACAGAATTTTTGGTAAGTTTTTGTAATCATGCTATAATTAAACAATTATGTTTCAAGATAAAAAATCGCGTTTTCATTACACGTAATAGCATTTGTGTCGTAATGTTTATTTCTCATTTAATTTATAGTTATTGTTAAGAATATATCATTGAATAATTATTTCAAACTTAGGGAAATTTCCATCAGTGTAGTCAATAATGACCCTAATGGGTAGATGTGACCCTAAATACCAAATTTAAAAAAAAAAAAAAAAAAAAAAAAAAAAAAAAAAATTACCATGATAAATGTATTTTAAATCTAAAAAATGGATTCGTTATTTTACAATAATTAAGTACATATAGGATGTTCAATTTTGATCGACAAATGTGAATTACTCGTAAATTATTCACTGAATAGAAAAATGTCTCTGAAAAAAATTAAATAGTTTCAAGGAAAGCATAAAATGGAGTAGTAATATCTACATTACAAAATAGGTAGGTATCCGAATATTTAGAACAAATATCTCCTAAACTGATGGTTTCCTGACATGATATGGGTTAATACCGTTTCATAAGTAATGACGAGCTGAATCGAATGATGCATTAAAAGATATATGTTTTCAATTAAAAAACCAAAGTTGATCTTCATATGACTTATGCGAGTACACCTACAGAAAAAACAGTTACACCATTTTATGCCCCCCTTAAAACCACTTATTTCTTATCTAAAACATTTTTTCATTGAGCGAATATTTTACAAATAATTCACATTTATCGATTAAGATTGAACATCCAGTATATTATATATGTGATATAAAATTGATTTCCACGTGATGTATAATATAACTAAAATTTATTCGTAGATAACAATAGATAAAATATAAAGGAATAACATATAGAAATGTGTTATAAAAAATATTTGTGTTTTATATATTATTATAATATATATTATATTTCAAATTGTTAATTTTGAGCTAATAACAGTAAAAACAAATAACAGGACCAACAAATTTATATTCGATTGTACTTCGTAAAATATTAAAAACAGAAGAAAAAATTCTGTGAAGCAAATTGAAATTGTGTTAGATTTCTCACATATTACTATTATTATTATAAACTCGTATGCTTATATATACACGCACACGCATTTTTTATATTATTACAATATAAATTTAGATAAAAATCTATTAAAATAAATAAAATTTGTTATTGTTATGATTATAATCTCTCATTTTAAAAATAATTAAACAAAAACATTAAACATATATTTGTTTATAGTTAATAAAAATTAATTCTTTGTAACAACTTTTAAAATGCAATATGTTTTACAATTTATTTTGGATATCTGCTTTTGTACTATTTTATTTTATCATTATACCATTGTTTTGTCACCTAATACTTCAATCATAATCATCATTAACTTTTAGCTCTTTGATTAAAGTGAAAAATTAGTATTAATATTTTTCCTTTTCATGTACAATGAAAAATCTAAATGTAGAGGGATCAAACAACCAAAAAGGTAGGGAAAAATTTGAAATAATTAGATTTTACTTCAACTAAAAAGATATTTGGTATAAACAATTATAATGAAATATTCTAGTGACAGAATATATTTAAAAAACTTGTAAAAAATAGGAGACTATAAAACAATATATGAGAAAGAAACGACTCTATTCGATAATAATAACAGCTTTATTTACTCTGATTTGCAAAAGACTGAATTTACTTTGGTATTTAATGGACTGTTGGATTCTTCTCCATTTTTAATTAAATATAATGTACTAAGTGTACAAGTACATAAATTTCTCACGTCAAACATATTAAATACGCAATTTCAATAATAATTTCATTAATTTTATACAATATATTAATTATAAAATTCAATTATAACTTTACGTGTGCGTGCAATAAAATAAAATATTTAAATTTATTGTACTGTGATTTTACATATTACTTTTCTTGCATTACTTCTGGAATATTGTTTCTAAGAAAAATTATAACCAAAATTTTATATAAGCCATGTACACATAACGACAAGCTTTTCTTAAAAATAATAAATATTTATCCGTAATTTAATGAAAGTACGAAGAGTCAAATATTAAAGAAAAAGATAATGTCAATGTTGCTATCTCATTCTTAACATTAAAATTAAATAACTCATAAGTGAACACATCAAAATGGCAACAAAATTCGTGACTACACAACTCCTCGCCTCTCCTAAGTTTCTAATTTCCTTCCTAATTTGAATTGTTTGTCGTACAAAAACATATATAGATATGTTCATTTGATTAAATTAATAATAAACAGCTTTAATAAAGTTTAATGATATATCTTAAAATCAAAGATGTTCTCTCTATGTACACTTGATCAACATAGGCAATGCTTCACGCACTAAATTTACCTAAGCTGAATAGAACACTATTATTTTTAAGTACAAGGCATTCATGTGCAAAAAGTTTTACCACCTAGAGTTTGCATAGGCAAAATAGTAAAGGAATAAATGACCCAAGAGCTATAAAGACTGGTAACATCACTGAAGAATCATCAATTGAATAAGGGTCTGGAGTTCTGGGACCACTTGTATGTCGACTACGAACTGTAGACTCCTCCTCGTCTTCCTGTATGTTGTGATACTCTTCTGGTTCCTGAGGAATTGGGCCCAACTGTGGTATATCTAAAAAACATTGAACAGTAATTATAAAAGTTATTTTAAAAACTTTCAAATACTCTATAAATTAAAATAATACCTGCAATGTTTCCTTTTACTACAGCAATAGCATTTATCTTTGGGTTATCTCTGTAGCCCTGTAATTGATTAGTTAAGGTTAATTAATTACAATTAAATTAAATTTTACAACACATATAACAACTATAAATATAATACTTTTATAAATTCAACTCTGATTTTTCCAGCTAATATATCAGATTCTTCATCATTATATATTAATTTTCCAGCTTGAACTTTAAATGGAATATATTCGTCATGTGCTATACCACGTCCAACTATTTCAAAGATATCTAAGTCAGTAACAACAGTATGATCTCCATTTAAAACAACATCAAACACCTGTTTTAAAATATAATAATTAATTAAAATCATATTTAATAATAAAAAAAAATACTTGATATTTTATCATAATTACAAAATTAAGATTACCAAACATTACCTTCATATTAGGAGAATTGAAATAAACTTCACAGAACTTCAGTATCATAACATAGTCTCCATCTTCGCTGATAGGGATATCATATCCAAATGTACTATGATGATAGCGTTCAGTTTGATATAAGATCTGATCAATGGCATTTACTCGTCCAATAATTAACTGCTTGCCATAATCAGATGCAGTTCCAACTTTATTCAATAAAGGATCTCTAGCATAACGAATTCCATAACTGTCAGTGTGTGCTTCACCACCAGCATTTATTGCATATATTACTTCTAAACTTTGCAGACTTTGTACACAGAAGGTAAATAATAACGTTAATATTGTCAAAAAATAGACTTCCCATCCGGCAGTCATGGTTGTTATTATATAATAATACTCAATTATTTCGATGTGACAATTTAATCATAACTTATTGTAATTTTTTGTAACCGGCAAGCAAGGTTACACTTGAAATAGAGAAACCCTTAAAGATAACATGTCGATGTTACGTATAAAAAAGTTTCTGTCATTCGATTAAATAAAATTTTGTATTAAATAAAACCTAAATATTACACCCTATCTATTTTGTCAACAAAATACTCTTAAGTCACGAATTACGAGCTATTAACTATACATTGATACAGGCATGTTACTATTACGTGGCAAGTGAATTCATTAGGTTAGATCCACATATAAAACCGCCTTTAGTGCAGAATATATTACAAAATTCCAATAAAAATTTACTTTTAATAAAATACATATGAATTAAATTTTTCAATTTATTTAAGTGAAAATGACTTATTTATTACAAAAAAATATCATAACTTCTTAAATAGCTTGTATGATAATTGATTTTATATTATACAAATTATTAGAGACTGAAAGAAAAATTCGAAACATAATACCCAAATATTGTTTTATATTTTTATATCTCGTAGCATATTCGTTCAATTCGAAAAAGTCATATAAATCGTTTTTCTGAGAAATCAATTCATCTTTATAATATTACTATATTTATTTAACGTAATTTGTTTTAAATAACTGATTTTGAAAAATAAGGAAATATATATTTCTTTTTTCACGCATTTTACTTACAAAATAATTTTAAATTAATTAATATCTAACTATAATTATTAATAGTAGAATTCATATTAGATTTAATCATAATTTATTTATTATAGTTTTTTTAGTTGCTAATCTATATATACAACAAAATATACAAAATATGAATACTTTTACAATTATATTGATAATTTTAACAATTAGTTAAGTATCACTTAGTAAAGTATTGACTGTATTGTAACGTTTTTTGGATAATAATTTCTTTTTTAAGCATTTTTATTTATTATGATAAAATATATAATTCATCTATTACTAGTAAAATTTTTAGAATAGTAATTTATGATAAAATATTTTCAAGTAACGATAAAATTTAAGAAGTCTCTTATCGATAAACGAATACCCACGAATGAAACATACTTGTATATTCACACAAACACACATGAAAGTACACCTTGACAATGTTCAGAAGACCGTTAACATTGCTCACCTGCCAGTAACGTATCTCTTTCTTTCAGTCATGGAAGCCTTACAATAACTAAAATAATAGTGACTCTTCTAAAAATGCTAATCGTGAGATTTCACTACTACGAACAATATAATGTTTTAAATTTTATGATGGTTCATCATGTGTTAATATTTGTATAATATAAAACGTATGATAAAATATGTAAACTTAAAATTTCTAATAAAATATGCAAAAAATCTTTATTCTTTCTGTGTGATATTTTTTGAATCAGACTAAAAAGAAATCGGTGTAACATTGATAGAAAATATTTATCCATGTTTAATTCTGAAAGATACCTATTTGTTTATTACTCAATAAAAATACGAAAATTTTCTATTTTTCTATACATTTATCTATTAAACTAGAATATATAAGGAATACAAACGAAAAAATGATTTTCAAATTTTTAAATGTTTATTGTGGAAATGATAAAGAAATGTGTATGAATTGTCAGATGCTTATGAAATATTTTGAATTATTATTAAATTAAAAACTAACATAATGTGGAAAAGAAAATATGTACATAAGAAAATACCGAAAATAATAAATACTAAATAAATAATAAATTAAAGTTAAAGATTGTAAACAACAATAAAAAATTATAAACAATTTTAGGTAAAATTAAATTGCTAACTTAAATTGTTAATTTAATTACTAATATTTTACTATTTAAGTAGCGACTATGGACATAAATTTAAATATATACAAGTGTTTATTACAACGTTTTACGTGAAGCGCATAAAAAATACGTTTCCAAAATCATATATAATTCCAGAATATAATATTTATATCTTTGTCTCTCTGTTTTAATAAATTTCTACCTTGTTTTTACAAAAAAACAAAAGATAAAGAAAAATACAATTATATTACTGTTTAATCAAGCAATTTGCGACGGAAATTTGATAACGATGATTATCGCAAATATTATATTACTGTTTAATCAAGCAACTTGCGACGGAAGTTTGATAACGATGATTAACGCAAGCTGAATTTATGAGATAAAGTAGTATGGCACCTATATTATTATCTATTAAAATATTTTATTATTATTATTATCGTGTAGTTGTTGTTGTTGTTGTTGTTGCTGTTCTTACTCGGAAGATGAAATTATTTACTTATAATTGTATTACTAAAATTAAATATTTTCTTTTTTGATGTTCTTATATATTATCAATTTGTTATTTATACTGTAATAAAGCTACTGAAATAAAAATTGCTTAAAAGATGTAAAATGACACTAATTTTTTCAAAATTAATTTAATTATACAAATAAATGATAAAAAACTTCATTTAAACAAATTTTTACCATTTACCGTATTTTCTTATACATGTAAATTTCACTGATCTTGCTTTTCCGATGAAATACGATGATATTAATAAAAACATGTATATATGTACATGATAACCTAAATCACAAAACTATTAGATTGATTATTGTTTCAATTTTTATTTTTACTCTGTTGAATATGGATAAATGCAGAATTAGAATATTGAAATACGTAAATTTTTCCACAAATTATTATAAAATTATGAAACATGTATCATGAATTTGCCAGGAAAAATAAATATTAATGTTATTATCTTACAATTTAATACTATTTATGAAAATTATCAGATTCTTTATTATTATTAATTGCGTATATTGAAACTACATTTATTTATTATATTTAACAATCATTTCTTAAAAATGAATAAAGTCTTAAAATAAAATTACATAACAAAATGAGTGAAGGTTTTGATTGGTTAGAAACGTTATATTTTTGACAAAATTGACACTGATCACATAAACACTTGACAGACGTACAAATGTATACGTTTACGATATAAAGTATATAGTAAGAAGGAAAACTAATTTAGTTTTGTAAAACTAACTTTAATAAGTAATAAAATACGTGCGAATGTCTCGACACGCACGAAGCAGCAGAGTATTGAACGGATGTGGCATAACTATACGAGAATACACTGGAAGCTTCTATGAAGCTCGCGAATCTACCGCAATGCCTATATTCATCGATTGCATGCACTGTACATTTGTCGCATAGACTATACTCATTTCCAACAAAAATTTTAACAAAATTCAACGAATTTACACGATATCTGAACACATAAAAGAAAGAAAATTACCATTTCTATTGAATAAATACTGCAGTTAAAGGTAAAAATACGTTTTAACATACATAATTGATACCGACAAGTAAATTTTACATCGATATTGTATAATTTTATATATATTATAATATATTTTCATATTATTATCAAATTAAATAAAATCTATTATATAAAATCCAAACGTTTATATGAGAAATATGTATGTATTACTATAAAATATTTCTTTGCTTCATTATTATTCTTGACTAAATGATTTTTATGGATTACTAGAAAAAAATATTTACTATAAAAGATTGTATATTATGAATAATACGAATATAATTTAATCTTCCTATTATCATGAAAAATAAATTTAATATATTAACAATCTTTTTAACAAAATTAAATGTTTTGTCAAAATATGAATAACTTTTGTACAAAAATATTCAATACGTCAGTGTAAATAAATTTTTTAGTACCTATTATGTTTTTTTTTGTTCTTTATGCACGAGTTCTAACTGTAATTAACCTCACGATATTTTCACGGTTATTTGAAGAACGTGGCGTTTGTATACATACACGTTTCATGCGTCACACGGCGTGAGATGCACATGTGTATATATATGTACGTTATACATACTTAGAACACAATTTCCAAAATACATATATAAATGGAAATCGAAAAATTTTTTTCTGATTGAAATTTTGTAGTTTGATTTCTCATTTTGGCTTTTATGATATTTCTAGCATTTTGATTTAGTAGCAAACAGATATACATGTATAATAATGAAAAAAATAAAAAATTTTGTACATGAATAAATTCTATCTATTTGTGCATTCTGTATTAGATTAATTATTATTTAACAATGAAATCAAATATAATTTAATTTATTTATTTAATGCATTTCAAGATATTTGAACTTATGTATTTCGTATTTCCTGTGGTTCAAATAAATTCTTACTATTTCAGTGACAATTTCATTACCATGCCTATAATGATATATCATCATGATTCAACTAATTCATTAATATTGCTTTTACATCAAGTGTCATTATTCCATACGTTTTTGTTATTATATATATTATTAAAAGAAGAAAATATGCTACTCTTAGTAATTTTGCATATACTAAAATAACAATTTTTTCTACAATAAGTATTACACAGTCAAAAAATATGAACAAGTAAATTATAAAGGTTATAGATGTCAAAGAAGTTAAAAGGCCTTGAACACAACTATACCTATTCATATTTGCATGTAAATTTCATGTGTATGTGTATTGCTGCACGCCTTCTGGAACTAGTTACTAGATTTTTTTCTAACTTGTACGTTACTTCCGTATCATCTGTCGTTCCAACCGGAAATTATTTTAAAAAATTATTTCAATTACTTGTTGAACATTTAAGAAATAGCTTTAAAAATTTAATATAATTTTTATAAAAATGTAAAGATTAGGTTTCTTTAATGTTTTCTACATATAAAATACTTTCGGATCGATCATTAACCATATAAAATTCTATCATTGATACACGTAGTTTGTGGCGCGCATCCAGTAATCATCCGAGTTCAACGGAAACTAGCTTCTGATTGGTTGGTAGAAGGTACTTGACTAAGAAGAACATTCCAGAAGCGTCCTCTGCAAAAGTAATATATACGGAGCCGCGAATGCGGGCTCTTCACTCACGTTGCGAATCGTCAAGTGAAGAACTTCTTTACTGTCCTACGAGACGAACTTTTACACGCGAATAAAGAAAGGTGTGTATCCATTGTTTCCATTTGGTTTTGCAATATTCGACATGTTCATCATTCATTATTTATGCCCAAAATAATTTGGATATTTTTTTCAATAATTTCAATTTTTATTTGCATTTTTATAGAGAAAAGCAAAGATGGCCAAAGCACCTGCAGTTGGTATTGATCTTGGCACTACTTATTCTTGCGTCGGTGTATTCCAACATGGGAAAGTGGAAATCATCGCTAATGATCAAGGAAATCGTACAACACCTAGCTACGTTGCATTCACGGAAACCGAACGGTTAATCGGTGATGCTGCCAAAAACCAAGTTGCCATGAACCCAAATAATACCATCTTCGGTGAATATACTTACTTACAAAATATCTTATGATGAGCAATTATTTTATTTCTTGTAAGTAAAATTATACATCTTTTGCTTTTGATAATTTATAAATTTTATTTTGCGAATTACTCTGAGCTCTATTAGTGAAATTTAAATTGTTCTTAATATTCGCGTTTTTATAATATTTTTTATCTTTTATATTTTTCTAGATACTGGTTTAAAATAGATATATTCGATCGCGTATAAAAGTATTAAAATAAAATTGTCGATGAAATTCATTCTAAAATCTTGAATTAACTATTAATATACTGTACAGTGTAATAATTAAATATTATTGTAAATTATCAATAATCTCTAAATCAGATAAGATTGATCGGTCGTTTTAATTTAATAATTTTACGAAAATTGCAACAATAAGTACTAATTATTCTTAAATTGAAATATTATTTAAAATTATGCTTGGTTGATAATTCTTGAATTATTTAACATTATTTTTCAACGATATCTATTAACTGAAATTTTATAAATCTTCAGTAAAATTTTATGTCGTAAGTTGAACTATTGCTGTAATAGAATAATACAAACTGTTATAAAATGATAAATAATGGCTTTAAATAATGATTAACTTAAAATAATATTACTGGGGATTTTATAAATGGGCGTGGAGAATTTTTGAACATGGTAGGCGATGAGATCAATGCATCTACTAGATGTACGGTAATACGCATGCGCAGATGTATAAGTTAGGCTTATAACGGCTAGAGGACGCCATTTCATTACTTTTTCGCGTTATCGTATAAAAGAAATATTTTCTCTGTTTAACTAAATATTAAAAATATAAAATTTTGGTGTCAGTTTCATTATTATAACACATTTTTAAATATTTGTAGCATATAAAGATTTTATCGTTGAAAGTATTTCCAGAATTTCAAAAAGATGAAAATATCAAATAAAATTGAAATTAATATCTCTTTACTTAATTTCTAATAAATACAGGTATAAATTAAATTTTATATTCAAGAATGAGTAAAAAATACATTGAATATTTCAATTTTAAGTTAAAAACATAATTAATAAAGTATTTATTTTCAAATTTTATCGAATTGTATATTTTCGTTTTCAGATGCCAAGCGCCTTATTGGACGTCGTTTCGAAGATCCCACTGTTCAAGCTGATATGAAACATTGGCCATTCACAGTTGTAAATGATGGCTGCAAGCCAAAAATTCAAGTATATTACAAAGGAGAGACGAAGACTTTCTTCCCTGAAGAAGTGAGTTCAATGGTTCTGGTAAAAATGAAGGAAACTGCTGAGGCATACCTCGGAAAGACCGTCACGAATGCCGTGATCACTGTTCCTGCTTACTTCAACGACTCGCAGCGTCAGGCAACCAAGGACGCTGGTACCATCTCGGGTTTGAACGTTTTACGTATTATCAACGAGCCCACCGCTGCTGCCATTGCTTATGGTTTGGATAAAAAAGCTACCGGCGAGCGCAACGTCCTAATCTTTGACCTCGGTGGTGGCACCTTTGATGTTTCAATTTTGACCATTGAAGATGGCATTTTCGAAGTCAAATCAACAGCAGGAGATACTCATCTTGGTGGCGAAGACTTCGATAACCGTATGGTCAATCACTTTGTCCAGGAATTCAAACGCAAATACAAGAAAGATTTGACTATAAATAAGCGTGCCCTTCGTCGTTTAAGAACAGCTTGCGAACGTGCAAAACGTACCTTGTCTTCGTCTACCCAAGCTAGCATTGAAATTGATTCACTCTATGAGGGAATTGATTTCTATACTTCAATCACCAGAGCTCGATTTGAAGAGCTTTGTGCTGATCTTTTCAGAGGAACACTCGAGCCAGTAGAAAAATCAATACGCGATGCTAAAATGGATAAAGCTCAGATTCATGATATCGTCCTAGTTGGTGGATCCACACGTATTCCTAAAATCCAGAAATTATTACAAGATTTCTTTAATGGAAAAGAACTGAATAAGTCTATCAATCCTGACGAAGCTGTGGCTTATGGAGCGGCTGTGCAAGCAGCTATTCTTCATGGTGACAAGTCTGAAGAAGTACAAGATCTACTGCTTCTTGATGTAACACCTCTATCTCTTGGTATTGAAACTGCTGGTGGTATTATGACTGCTCTTATTAAGAGGAATACTACAATTCCAACAAAGCAAACTCAAACCTTCACTACCTATGCTGATAACCAACCAGGAGTACTGATTCAAGTTTATGAAGGAGAACGTGCACTGACAAAGGATAACAACTTGTTAGGTAAATTTGAACTCAGTGGTATTCCGCCAGCCCCTCGAGGAGTTCCTCAAATTGAAGTCACCTTTGACATTGATGCCAATGGTATCTTGAATGTCTCTGCAGTGGATAAATCTACTGGCAAAGAGAACAAAATCACCATTACAAATGACAAAGGTCGTCTCAGCAAAGAAGATATTGAAAGAATGGTTAATGAAGCTGAAGAATATCGTAATGAAGATGAGAAACAGAAGGAAACCATCTCTGCAAAGAATGGTCTTGAGTCTTATTGCTTCAACATGAAGAGCACAGTGGAAGATGAGAAACTCAAGGAGAAAATCAGTGCCAGTGACAAACAAATTGTATTGGACAAATGCAATGATATCGTTAAATGGCTTGACACCAATCAGCTGGCTGATAAAGAAGAATATGAACATAAACAGAAAGAATTGGAGGATATATGCAACCCCATCATCATGAAATTATATCAGGGATCTGGTGGGGATATGCCTGGAGGATTGCGTGGTGGAATGCCTGATGGAATGCCTGGTGGTTTTCCAGGAGCTGCTGGTGCTAGTGCTCCTCCTTGTGGTGGTGGTGCATCTGGCCCTACTATCGAAGAAGTCGACTAAATTGTTACTCTCCTGCCACACTACACTCTCTATAATTTATTCCTATGCAGAGGATAACAACAACCTGAAGAACATAGAATTACACAGCTGCGATCTTTCGTTCCTCAGTATAATTTATCTAGGATTTAGTTCTTTCTTATATCATTGTAAAAGTCACTTTAGATTTATTTATTTCGTTCCTCTGTAAAACTAGACAAATGATTTATTCTATTAATTATTTTTTACTGATTACAATGCGTGAACAATAATTTTACGCACGTTGATTATTGTATTTACATGTCAGTAATATGGATAAAAGATCAGTTGTTGATTTTCTATGTTCCAAAAACTATGCAAATATAAAACAACCCCCGAAAATTATACAATTGTTTTTAATTTATTACCTTTAATTAAATAAGACTTATAAACGGTCAGCAATGATTTGTTATGATCAGATAAGTCATATTTTAAATTTAATTTGAATTTTATTCAACACTGCAACTTATTGCGATATTTTAATTCATTGTATTGAATAACAAAATTAAATTTTAATTGCCATTCTATTTCAATATTTGATATATTTTATTTTAGTTAGGATATATTTTACATAATAAATTCTAAATTATTCTTTATTCTAATAAATATTTGTAGTATTATATACGTATTTTAATACAACATTTGTAATAGAATAAAGCGTAAAATTTCTTAATTGTATTATAATGTTGTTGAAAATATGTATATAGTTATTGTATATATTTTGTAAAATGTACAACAAACAAAACAAAGTACAAAATTTTTTATATGTAAAATTTACAAATATTTTATATTTTTTTTAATGATTTCACATTTTGACATAAAATAATATTGATCTATTTTAGTAGTTACTTTAGTTTTAATCATTTATTATTTTTAGTTATTTTTATTATTCTACAGACCATTTTTCTATTTATACGAAATTATGTGAACCATCTTTTTTTAGTGATGGGTTAATAATTTGTTTTATGTGTTTTGATATATACTATGTACATTAAAATAAAGTTTAACCAGTTAGCTGTGGCGTCCCTTTTGAAAGCGCGCACTTATATGTGTCGCAAAAATCGAGCGATGACGAGTATATTTGTCAATCACAGAATAAGTGTCGCTATTAAAATATTGAATCAAAAAGATGAGTTTATTTTATAAAATTGACAATTTTATTACTAATATTTACTTATTTGATTAACATCTATTCTCTTATTGGTTAGCCTTTATGGATATCTATGAATTTTAGTGACCGTCAAAAAATAGCTAGGTAACTTCGGGTCAGCAATCGTTAATGGGCTCAGAAGCTTGGTCAGCGTCACGCATTTGTCCCGTGGCGGACCATCCCTAAAGGAATCCTATCATAAATCAACTTTCCGACTTCTGCTTTTGCCCCTTTTACGCTAACATCTAAAAAACGTTATCATCACACATAAATAAATTCGTTATGCAAACTGATAAGCTATTTCAGCCGGTGCATACGAGGACGCATGAGTTCATCTCAAATTATTCTAAACATCTTGAAATTTGAGAACATATTTTATTTTTCACAAAAATTACAATTTAAATAGCCAATGGTCACTACTTTTTACGCATGACGAGTATACTCGTTACACTCGTTAATTTTTGTTTACAATTTCTTTGTTTTGAAAGAAACTATTGAAATAAAATAAGACATAAAAATACATATTAAAAAATAAACCAAAAAGATTGTTTTAAGTTATATTTGCAGGATATTTTAAAAGTTATGATTTTTATTTCGAATAACAGAAGAGACGACTCTTTTAAATACGATGGTCTCATTTGCAAATGCATTGCTACGGTACGAGATAATCCTAGCGCGGATGTACTATGTTCTATCATCGTTATAAATCAATGAGAAATTTTAACGATTAATCAAAATTACGTTAGCATATCGTGAATGTTAGATGCTGGTTGATTATAATCACGATTAGTGCATTGCGAGTATCAGCCGTTAGGTGATTAGACATCGGTACTATTGAAGGAATTAACAATGCAAAGAAATAAATCATTCAAGCATAGTACATTCTTCTCGTTCTATAGTAAAAATTTTTTTTTACAATTTAGAGGCACAAGGTCATCACAGTTATTGCAATAAAATTAAATTTAGATTATTCTTCATAAAATTAAGTTTTATTTGCAAGCACAACAGACTCAAATGCTACAAAAACAATTGTTCAATGATCAATAGTATAATGATGAAAATTTAATAAATAGCAATACATCATCAATATATATTATGATTTGTACTAGGATTTTACAAATTTTCTAACGTATACCCGAAATAACCTGAAATATAACACCTGATAATAAAATAAGTGAATTATGAAATTTGAAAATAACAACATAGAGTGCAAGCGTTATTATGAAAGAAATTAAGATTGATGTGCCATAGTAGTTGCAAACAATACAGTTGATTTTCCTTTCTTTTTCTTCTTCTTTCCACTTCCATTTTTCTTTGTTTCTAGAAAAAAAAAAACAAAAATTGAAGTTATAAATAGAATATTAATTCTATCAATCATCACAGATATGCATTACACAACAATTTCTATAATTCATTAGTAATAATATAATCTCACAAATAAAATAAACACAACGCTCCAATTTTCATGTCACATATTTTCAAATGATTTTTGCAAAATATTTTTCTACCAAAATAAGCTACATGTATTACTAAAACAATATAAAATGAATAATATATTCTTAATTATTACATTAAGATATTTTTATTACGAAGAACATTTCTTTTGCAGTATTATAATATCCTTTGTTCTTGTTTTTTTTTATCCTTTTATATTACAAAAATAACATAAGAAGATAATCATAATAATTTTTAGTATAAAATAAGATAAAGCTTTTACAAATATTTTAATATATTATGTTTTTATTAGTAACAATAAACATCAAGTTTCTTAAACGTTGAACTACATTTGATGTTTCTTCACAATTAAAATATATGGTGATGAGATGAATTAATCTTCAAATGATGTTACTGATTAAATATTAGAATGACATTTAAGAAAATATTTAGACACACATATGTGTATTTCTTTGTAAATTAAATTGGATAAAAATGATTTGATTAGACACTTCATTATTGTGATTTCGTTTAAACATTGAAATAATATTCAAAATATTAGAAACTTTTCATTTTAAAATGTTTGAAAATTTTATAAAATTGAGTGATTTTTACTTACATGAAAATTTGTAATTGCACTGTAGTAAGCTTACCTAATTTTGTTTGCTCTAAAGCAGCTGCTAAGGCATCGCCAAAACTCTGACTGTGTGATGGTACTGGGATATAGTCTTCCTCTTCTTCAGTGTTTCTTGAAGATGATTGAACGGTTATACTAGTATTTAGTTTCCCATGAGTAGAGTTAATTGATGGCCATATTGATTGTGACTTCATACGTGTGCCGGTATTTCGCAACATTTCAGCAAACGATGGCCCCGGTTCGTGAGTGACGTTGTCAGTTTGTTTAGATGTAACAATCTCGTCAAATGTGCTTAAGGATGGACTACTAGCGACACTTGAAGCCGTCGTCGATTCTGGTGGTGATGGAACGCTTTCTCTGTAAACATATATTTCTTAAAATTATTCTATATATTTTGGACTTACTTATACTTTCAATTTGATGATATATATTGACATTTGTCACTAACGAATATTCTCTTATAATCTTTAAATGGCAAATATTTAGTGTTATATAATGTTTAATATTAAAAAGCGTCGAATATATGAAATTAAAAATTTGCTAAGACATAATTCAAGAAATTGTTAAAATATGATGTAAGTTTAATAATAAATTTTTAATGATTGATGTATCGATTATTTGGATATTTTAAAGAAACCTTTAAAACTTTTTATATTTAGTGATAAAAGTGAAATATATTATAAAATAAAGAATTTTTCTTTATGATAATAATACAAAATTTGTGTTTATTTAACAATTTGATGTAAAAGAGCAATTATTAAATGCTAATAGATCAATAACGAATGTATTGATAACGAAAAGTATACATACTCTGAAAATAACAATTCTGGTTGCCATTGAGGAAAATGTTGTTGTGAGTCAATGTGTACAATAGGTGTTGGATATTTTCCCATTCGTTTGTTTTCTTCCTCAGTAATCTTTCTTTCTCTTTTCCTTTCCTCGCGTTCACGTTGTTGTCTACACTTGTGCCTCAATGTTAATTGGGCTATAAAATTAATTACAGTATGAATTTAAATGTCGGTAGAATTTAAGAAGATATACTTGTATTTTTTCTAGAGATAAATGTACCTTGAAATGAAGATAAAACCTCGTTTGATACAATTGGCGGCTTTAATTCAATTTCAGCTACTTCAAATTGGCAAGCCAATGGCAAATGACATAAATATCTTAATCTACGTCTTAGATTTTCCGTAAGACTTCCAGTTTCTTTTTCTAAAAGTTTTCCCATTATGGTATGAGGAGAATTTTCAAGACTACCGTATTGCATTTCTAACATTTTTACATTCATTGCATGTAAATATAAATGTTGTCCATCTTCCGCTGAAAATTAGTATTTTTTATAGGTATATTAAATTTAAACTTTTGGTAAATTACATGTTAAAATATATATATAAAAGGATGAAAAATATTAATTAAAAACCTTGGTAAAAGTAAAAGAATTTTTGAGTGTTCGAAGTTAATTGAGCACTATTAGGAGAATTTTCTATAGACTTTGCTTCTTCATCCAGATTTTTTACGTGCCCTTTTGTTGAAATACTTGCTTCTTCACACTCTTGAGATCCAGATTGAGATAAATGTTTCTCAATGTTGTTATTTCCCGTTTGCGCTGTAGTTTCATTCATAGGAATAACTCCTGATTTCATCTAGGAAAAAATTTGTTTTTATGAAAAAAAAAGGAAAAGAAAATTCTACTCACAAAAACTTTAATCTATAATGTTTTAAATTAAAAATTTTATAAGTTTACTTAAATTTATTTTACCTTTTGTGGTAATTCCTCTTCTCTTTTTGAGAGTTCATCAAGTGCTTGTTCAATATAACAATTTTCTGGAGAATCAGGATTATCTGATAGCTCGAATTTCAATTGAATCCGTTCACATTCAATAATATTCACGACCTGATATATAATTTGTAATACAAGTCACAATTAGTATTAATTATTTGATATCTTTACATTTTAATTTTTAAAAGTTTAAGGAACTTACATCATCTCTATTTGCAATGAGAAGTTTTGAGTAGACTTGAGTGCTAATAGTTTCTGAAACTGGGAAGAAGTTTGTTGGAGTTTGAAGTATGGATCCAACAGGCACTGCGAGCAACGATCCCTTTTCACGACGCATCAAACGTAAAGTGACAATATCTCCTAAATTTAATGTACTTTGTGTGACTTCACTAACACTGAAATGGAGAAGAATATTTTTAATTTTTTATTTAAATTTCATTAAAATATATTAGTTATATTCAAATAAATTACCTTTTTAAATCAGATTTTTGGATAGATTCATAACAAATAGGACATTTACGCCAAGATTTATCAGAAAGTGATAAATAATGAAGAATACAAGGCCAACAATAAACATGACCACAACGTGTCATTTTTCCAGCAACTGGTGAACATAAACATATTGGGCATGATAAGCTTTCAGAACTATGGAGTTTCTAAACAATAAAATTTTATAATTATTATTATTATATAAAACAAATAGAATTAAACAAATTTTATTAAAGATATTTGTAACTTACAACTTGTTCTACCAATTTCCAATCAACTAGTACATCTGGATCACTTAGATACAACGTATAATTTCCACTGTCATTTACAACAAATTGACAGCTGAAAAATAATATAATAATAAAATTTAAGTACGTTAATACTATTAAAGTCATCAATTTTATATTATCAATATTGATATAAAATATCATACCTGGCTTGTAAAAACTGCTCTTTGTTGTACTTATGCCGTTGTATTGGTGGAAGCCACCTATTACTGTTTCGAGAGAAACCTTTCACTGATTTTCCATGACTCCATGCACTTGAACCACTTTGCATATCACGTGGCTCATAATGAAAATTTAGCAGATGATTCAAATTCTGCTTTTTACTTCCTTGGACCACTATTGAGCCAGGCTCAGCAAATTCTGTATGTACTACCTAAAAATTAAAATATTTAATTCAGAATTAAGTTAGGTTATAAATTACATAAACCAGCATAATTAAATATAAAAATCAACCTTGGTATTCTCCTTTGCACTGCCATGATATTGTCCTTTAGGTCTTGGTCTCTTATCAAAACTTTTTGTTTTTTGTACATTGCACTTCTTTGATTGTTCAAATTTCGAAGAACTGCTAGCACCTGCTGGTTCGCGACGGCGCGAATTTCTTGGAAAAAGTTTGTTTGTAACATCTGCAGAAATAATAATTTATAATTTAAAAAATTGTCAGTAATCAATAGACAGTAAACAACTTTCAAACAATGTATAGGACGAATTTATAAATAAATATGAATATAAAATGTATATAAAAAGAAGGAAAAAATTAATTTTATATAATAAATATATAGCATATTTATAACACATAAAAAGTTACAGAAGTGATCATAACATGAAGAAATTCGTATATAACAAAAGTTAATTTTAAAATATTTCATAAATTTGTTATATACTATGAGAAGTAACTGTTATTAATGTCTAATCAATAATTAAATTTAGGATATTGTTAGATATAGTTAGTTGTTTTAAAATAATCTGACTACTTATCATTTTTTCTAATTCTGTTAAGATTTATCTATATAACACATTACACCGGACAGCCATATTATTACTAGTTAATGTTTTTCTCGCAAATAATAATTATTAAAAGAAAATGAAAAGGATAAAGTTTCGAAGTTTTCTACAAGCAACAAGATATGTTATATATCAGTTTTTTTTTATTTAAAATATTTGTTGGAAGTGCAAGTAATCAATTTTTTAAATGAAATGTTGCACATTGTTCTATGCCACATGAAAATTTCTTCTTGATATGACTAAGCAATATAACTACTTTACAAAGTAAAATAAATCAAGTATTGATAATTTATATAAGTCATATTGAATATCACCTGTAATTATACAAACAAGAAATTCTTATAAACATAATAATATGACAATTTCAAAATATCTCTTTTACTTTTAATCTTGTATGATTTTCAAAGTCATTGTAGACTACATGTATTCGTTTTGGTGGACACTTTCATATGTCATAAAAATTATATAATGTTCCATTTAAATAAATTAAGATACCTTCATTTCTCAACAACCACTTTAACAGAAAAGAAAGAGAAAAGAAGATTAAGATGTATAGATAATTCAAAATATTTAATTTTTAGTAAAATATTTTGAACGTTTAAAATAAATATTTATAATTACAATACACATTTATTTCTTGAAATTAGTATCTTTGGTTTAATATGTCTTCAAAATGTTTATAGCATTTACAATAAGGGACTATATATTTTTGTAAAAATATATTACTTTAAAATTATTTATTAAATAAAAAGAGAATTTTATGCAGAAAAAGTATATATTCTTAGACCTTATTTTGTTACCTTTATTGTATTATTAAAAGCTATTTTTATAATATATTTGGTATATTATTAATCTTAATATATATTAATGTTTAATGTATATTATTAAGATTAATAAAACATATATATTTTAGTATAAAAATATAATATAAATTGAAACATAATTGTGATATTATATATGAATCTAAAGGTTATTTATTTTTCTTCAATTTATTATAACAATTTTCAAAAGGTGCATCTGTGCATAATATGCATAAAATTAGGAATAGCTTTAAATTAGAATCACAAAACTATAAATGTCGTAATAAGAAATAAAAATTTTACGAATGTTTTAAAGAGTAAAACCCAAGGTATTTTACTATCTAAATCAGTGAAAATTATTATTGTCATTATGATATCAAAGATATCTTTGATAAGGCAATTTTCTTTCTCTTTTTTCTGCAAAAGAGATTAAATTAGTTTTGAACTAAGAAATAAACTATAAACTCGATATTTTTAAACAAATATTCTAAAATATTTAAAAATATTTAAGTTGAAGTATTCTACACGTTATTATACGAGTTGGTAATATTTAAGTGTCTCGATGGATTTAATGAATTATATAATTAAAAGATTATGAAAATATTATGAGTTATAAACAAGGAGAGTGAAAACCAAAAGATTAAAATCTTCAAGAAACCATAGATTATGAGGAATAAATATCATTCTTTCTTTGTACAAGATACGCATGTAAGACGTCGGCGAAATGATGACGTCGTTATTGAAGTAATCGACATTTGTACGACGCACCTTGAGTCTTTTTACTATCAGCAGGAGCCCCCTTTGTAGAGGATTGCGGAAATTTCGTATTTTTTTCCATTTCTAGCACGAATGTGTTCGTGCTGAATTCCAGAGTGGTTGCGGCTACGGTCTCCTCCGTATGGAGAAACAATATATTTCTGCAAGCCCTTCATCTTCTTCAATAAGCCATGTTTCGTTATTGTCAAAGGTGAAGAAAAAATCCTCGAAATGCCGAAAATCCACGGCCGATGTAACGGTACTAGGATGACCACAAACACAGGTATAACAGAGCAAAAGCTCTGCTTTGGTTTTTCGTCGTAATCGACGATTATTGCAATTCCTGGCTCTGCGGCCAAAAACGGTCGCGATCTCGTCGCTATGATGGCGACGAAACTAATGACTTGCGCAAGCGGAAGTAATACGTGACACATATCGACTACTCTAGTAATTTGCAAACGTTTAAATGATAAGCTAATATTATTAGCATGAATTCTAATTCTTCTATATCTTTATACATACGAGTAAAAATTAATATAAATATGTCGAGTATAAAATATATTTTAATTTTAATACGATAATAGTAAATAATACAATTTATTTGATTTTTGATATTCAAAAACTTACACGTATTACGGTACTGATACGATAAATTAAATTGCGTTATTTTTCAATGAAATTTTATCATATTCTAGAGTATGACATAATATGTTGTAACATGCTAGATATATTGTAAGATATAGGTTTTTTCAAAATGATAGTTGTATTGTACTTAAAATAATGAATTTATTCCTTGATATTTAATTATATATATTACTAAGTTTGATAGGTTTAGTTGTAGAAAATAATAATTTTAACAAGAATTGATTAAATAATTACAATTTTCATTAAATAAAATTTTATATTATTTTTATTTAATGTAATTTAAATTAAGGGTTAGAAAATAAATATAAATTGGACAAATTAAATTTGGTCGAAATCGATAAATGATTGAAAAATCAAGGCGTATTCTCAAAAAAATAAAATCTGTGTAGTACGGAGTTGTACTAATAGATGTCGCTACAAGTTTCTTCTTCACATATTCGCTCGATAATATATCAATAACCAAGGGAAGGAATGACAGAAATTCAAAACTTATTTCTATTAATTAAAATAAAATAATACATATACATATCATAATATATATATATACAAATAACATTTTAATTTCAATTTTTTGGATAAGATAATAGTTGTACATGTTAATTGTCTGCTCTGCATTTACTACAAAAATTAATTAAATGGCATTGATTTTTGAATTTATTATCAAGTATCTATCCTCGTTTGTAGAGTAGCATTAATTCATTAATTTACTGACAAATTTAATACGCTAGAGGATATACATATATGTAGACACAAATGTATTGGTACTTCCAAGATTTGATTAATCTTTATATCTAAAATATGTTTATGCAGTTACAATATTACGAAATTCTAGTAGTACGTACGTAAGTTCTCAATAGTACGAAGTTCTAAAATACATTAACACCGTTACGAAATTAAAAATAATATTTGGAAATAAAGAAGGAAAAGGAGGGAGAGTTATTATCTTATTTTTCATACATGTTTCAGTATTTGATTATAACTAAAATAAACAACTAAATGCAAGGTTTGGCACATCTATAGGAAAAGAATGTTATAGATTATGTTATATACTTTCTGCATAGATAATAATAAAATCATTTTTCTGTAGATCCACGTTATATACAACATGTTGAGGTGGCTGTATAAATTTGATTAACATTAATTTATTATTAGGGCAAAGTATGTAACGTCCACAAATATATTTTTTGATTTTTACTAGTATGTATTTATCAATGTAAAAACAGTTCATGCAATTAAACTTTGTTTAAACTAAAACAATTGAAAATCTATGCAATCATGATGAAACGAATTCATTTATGTAAATATTATGAAATGTAGAAATCATAATCACCACTCGAAAAAAATTATTATGAGGTTATGGTCTAGAATTCATAATTTTGTAGTACAGCACATTGATATATTCCAATAAAGAAACTAAAATAAAAGAACGAAAATTAATATAACTTAAAATCGATAAGGTCTGTTTTCATTTTGCATGCTTATTTCTTACACTATTACGCTGTTGCACATAAGCAATTTACAATTATCGTCGAGCAATCGCATTTCATCCGAAACCACGATGCGTGCGGCTTTTTCGGACGTCGTGAACTCCGCACATGCGTAGACACGAAGTTCACAACTTTGGGTTGGACCTCGTAGTGTCACGTGACTTCAACGCGTATATACGTCCTGCAGCCGGCAAATTTCCTCATTCATTCTTTCAAACCTTTGCGACGAGGTTCTCTTTTCGAATTTACACGCTATCTTTCTGATGGTCTGTCATTGTGACCAATGGGCAATTGCTTTCGAAGTCAGTCTGCAACTGGATCGACCGTACATTTTTGCAATGGTAGCTCTTGCAAACTATGCAGTTACGATCTGAAACAGAAACACAGACATAAAGAGCAATAATCGTACATTTGCACAATGCAATGATTCCTCTTGTCACATTTGTAAAGTAAAAGGGAAGAGGAACGAGAAACGTGAACTCTTATTGTATTTGAGAAACGAATAATCGTTGGACCAAGTTCGAAGTTGTCAGCTGTCTTGAGGATCCTTTCTCGCGTAACAACGAAAGCAACAATTCGTGGACGGTTAGTGGCGCGGTAATGGGTCTGACGGATACAAGTTTCGAGGTACTTTTGACCCTGTGGCGGGTTCTCGTTGTGGGAGTCGTGTGGACCGAAGAAATCTGCGGTCAGTGTCACGGTGTCTTGCTGAGCCACAGCATCGCCGGTCTCACTCGTTAATCGTTTCGGACACGTTATTTGGTAAGTGAAAAGTAGTCGATGCAAATACTCTCACGTTGTCATGATTAATTGTCTTGTAATTTAAAGTCGTAATTAACTATTTGTCTTATTTACTCATTTACTATGATTTGTTTGAATTAGAGCGGGGCACCAAATGGTGCCCAACATCGACGTATTTGGTTATTAAGGGTGAGAGATTTTATTTTTTCGTAGAAAATTATTATAAATATATATCTTAAAAGGAATAGGAATATTATCAAACGTAATTAAATATTAAAAGTGATAGAATTATTTTTTATAATGAAACGAAAAGGAGCAACTTCGTATGTTGCTGAAGAAAATCTATCAAAATGAAAATAATTGTTTTTAAATAAGTAGAGAGGTATCGAAAAAGGGAAGAGTACGAACGAGATTAAGTAAATAAAATAAATAAAATGTAATATTTGTTACCAAAGTCACGAGAATGTTAATTTTCTCTGATATTAAAACTTGCGTTGTTCACTATAAGTTTCTGTGAAATTTCGAAGATAAAACGAAGAAGCAAAGAAATCTCGAGTAAAATGTAAATAAAAACAAAGTTTGTTTGAAAAATTGTAGATAAATGTATAAGAAAGTGCAAAAATAACACGTATATTTTAATTTTTAATTCATTAAAGCCAATTTTATGGAAACTAACCTAGTAAAATGAAGTTTCAGATTAATTTTCATGAAAAAATTTGGTCTACTTCTTAATTATACGTATAATACTTTTAATCTCTCTTTTAATTATTTTTATTAAGTTTTTCCGAGATTTAAGGAAACTTCTTAATAATCATCGAAACGTCGTAGATAACCTTTTGTCTGTTTTAAAATGTTTTTAAACACGGGTCTAAATCTTTCTCGTCGTTATTGTCAGATTACCTAACCCAGTTACGAATTTTATGTAGCTATATCACCTATTGTTAGAATCTATTATAGTGCTTTAGAACCTATTAAATATCAATAGCTATTAATGTTAAAAGTCAGTTCACTTGATATCTAAGAAGATTTTTGAAATATTCAAGAAATAGTTCGAAGTTTTTGTATCTAGAATCTAGATTAGTCATTCGGCTGATTAACGATTGTGGAACAATTATTCGAACGTATTTACAGGTGTACGTTCCATGTGTAAATACTCTTATTTTCCATGGCCGTTTGTGGTTTCGATGATTATCCTTATTCTCATGTTTCAGCATCTAAATCATTTTTAATGCATATGTTTCAAAGAATTTATCTTAGAAGCACGATTCACGGAAAGTCGAAGTGAATCGATGATTTTTCTGTGAAAAGTGATAAGTTTTCCTTAACAAATTCCTAGAAGTTATAATGGATAATAGAGTGAAAGTAGATAAAAAAAGTTTCACATTTAGAATCTATTAAAGAATCGTTAATGACATAAATGACAATGATAATTAAAGACGCAGTGTTATATCGTTAAACCTTTAAAGTAAATGTCTTACAGAACTTGAAAATATATCTTCCTCCCAGATTATATAAAACTGATATAATATAAAAAAAATAATATATATGAAAGATATATAATAGATTAAAGTAGCTACATACGTTTATGTCTAGGAGTTTAAGTAACAGAGAGAAATGTTAAATATTAATTGGAAATTTGGATAAGAGATTTAAATTAAAAGAAGGAAGAATAACAGGATAGACATATCATGCAAAATTGAGAAAAATGTAAGGTGAAATAAAAATATTAGAAAAAGAGTATGAACGATAAGCATAAATTTAACTATAATTAGTATCAACATTCTTGTGATTATTTTTTACCATCCGGTAGTAATAAGAAAAATCTTAGCATAGAGCTATGATGTGTAATTTCATTCGACACTGCTATATAGCAGAGCCCACGACGTTACATGGAAACTGCACCTGATAGTAAGCAACAGGCTGTACGCTTTACTTTACTTAAAATCGAATATCCTCCAACGTATTAATTTCATCGTTATTCCAAGCAGAAATTCTTCTATGAATATCGAAACAATTTTATTTACGAACTTTTACATTTATACATACATCTTCTGCGAAGTCAGTGGCAGATAACATTAAAATATACAAAATTTGCTATGTCAAATCATACAGATGAAATAGAGTGAATGCTTATGTGTATACATTTTTTCATTGCCTTTAGGTGATGAATCAGTATGTCTTAATCTCTCTTTTAATTATTTTTATTAAGTTTTTCCGAGATTTAAGGAAACTTCTTAATAATCATCGAAACGTCGTAGATAACCTTTTGTCTGTTTTAAAATGTTTTTAAACACGGGTCTAAATCTTTCTCGTCGTTATTGTCAGATTACCTAACCCAGTTACGAATTTTATGTAGCTATATCACCTATTGTTAGAATCTATTATAGTGCTTTAGAACCTATTAAATATCAATAGCTATTAATGTTAAAAGTCAGTTCACTTGATATCTAAGAAGATTTTTGAAATATTCAAGAAATAGTTCGAAGTTTTTGTATCTAGAATCTAGATTAGTCATTCGGCTGATTAACGATTGTGGAACAATTATTCGAACGTATTTACAGGTGTACGTTCCATGTGTAAATACTCTTATTTTCCATGGCCGTTTGTGGTTTCGATGATTATCCTTATTCTCATGTTTCAGCATCTAAATCATTTTTAATGCATATGTTTCAAAGAATTTATCTTAGAAGCACGATTCACGGAAAGTCGAAGTGAATCGATGATTTTTCTGTGAAAAGTGATAAGTTTTCCTTAACAAATTCCTAGAAGTTATAATGGATAATAGAGTGAAAGTAGATAAAAAAAGTTTCACATTTAGAATCTATTAAAGAATCGTTAATGACATAAATGACAATGATAATTAAAGACGCAGTGTTATATCGTTAAACCTTTAAAGTAAATGTCTTACAGAACTTGAAAATATATCTTCCTCCCAGATTATATAAAACTGATATAATATAAAAAAAATAATATATATGAAAGATATATAATAGATTAAAGTAGCTACATACGTTTATGTCTAGGAGTTTAAGTAACAGAGAGAAATGTTAAATATTAATTGGAAATTTGGATAAGAGATTTAAATTAAAAGAAGGAAGAATAACAGGATAGACATATCATGCAAAATTGAGAAAAATGTAAGGTGAAATAAAAATATTAGAAAAAGAGTATGAACGATAAGCATAAATTTAACTATAATTAGTATCAACATTCTTGTGATTATTTTTTACCATCCGGTAGTAATAAGAAAAATCTTAGCATAGAGCTATGATGTGTAATTTCATTCGACACTGCTATATAGCAGAGCCCACGACGTTACATGGAAACTGCACCTGATAGTAAGCAACAGGCTGTACGCTTTACTTTACTTAAAATCGAATATCCTCCAACGTATTAATTTCATCGTTATTCCAAGCAGAAATTCTTCTATGAATATCGAAACAATTTTATTTACGAACTTTTACATTTATACATACATCTTCTGCGAAGTCAGTGGCAGATAACATTAAAATATACAAAATTTGCTATGTCAAATCATACAGATGAAATAGAGTGAATGCTTATGTGTATACATTTTTTCATTGCCTTTAGGTGATGAATCAGTATGTCAAATACTTCTTATATATTCAGGGATATCCGGTATATATTCGATATATAATATATATATATATATATATATTATATTATATTACATATAATATACTATTACAATATATTCTGATATATAATAATATAATATATTAGTATATAGTATATGTATATAAAATAAGTAGTTGCAATTATATATTATATAAAAGGTTCTGGGATTTGTTGTTTTAAGCAAGGAAAATGTTTTTACATATCTAGTATACGACTATAATAGTCTCCTATAACATATAAATTCTGCTTGTTTCTGTTGTTTTCAGCTAAAACAGAATGCATGTCACTTTCTGCGATACCAAAGAAAGAATTATTAATTTATTTCTAATTTTCTCGATTTCCTATGACGCGAAATCCCTTTAACGCAGAATCTCTCGAGTCATAGGTGGTTCTACTATAATAGTGCTGTATTATAAAATCTAACAACGGGTAATTATAATTTATAGTACAAAAGAAAAGCGAAAGAAAGAATAACGATATAAGCAGGTGAGAATTTAAAGCTGGCATGCAACAAGTTGTACGATGATGTGAGTAGTGCAGTAGATCATTTCTGATACCTATCATCACGATCCATTGGGGAACTGGCGACTGGTTCCACTAACAACGAGTTAATTAATACCACGATCTTGCTTGTTACCTTGAATAAGAAGCCCTGTCCCCACCGACGAGTCGAGCATTCCGTTTCTTCGAATTTGCACAATTTGCTTCGACGCAACTCTTATCCCCATCTATTTCTTCAGCGCGTTCGTGTGGCACTGTTTAAATCTTGAGGAACACGCGACAGTTGCATTTCGTTCGTTTTTTCCTGAACAAGGCGCTTCTTGGGATCTCGAGGTAGGCTATGTGCCTTGGAATTGTTTCTCGGCCGGGTTTTCGTTTCGCAATGCTCGTTTGCACACGTCTGTGATTGTCTAATTGCACTTCGCCTTTTATTTTGCCATCTTAACTATAACGGTGAATTACGAGAGGAATGTAACGAGATGTTCGTAACGATTCTTTTTAGCATTATATTTTGAGAGCCAGATATAATATGTTCGAGATAATATTCCGTGTAGAAATTGTTTAATCTGTTAGGAGAAATGGTATTTATAATATTCAATCATTTAAGTTGGTCTTTGTAGGTTACCGAAATAGTGTCAGTTATACTGTGCTAGAAAAGAAAATTATCAAATTGATTAAATTGCTTGGTTTTAGATTTCTTGTGCTCTCAATTATTGAAAATCTACAGCTGCTCTTGAGAAAGTCAATAATTATTTTTATTAACAATTGTAAGACAGAAATACAACGCAATAGTTTTATACATATACTTGTTCATTTTTGTAGTACCATTTTAATTATTATTATGTGTTATTTTAAATAACAAATTCTTTATTTTATTTTTAAGTATCAAATAATAAGAAGAATTTTTATTATATTTATACTATTTTATTATGTGTATTATATCTATGTACATGTTATTGAGCAATAATTTCAGTGTCTAGTGAATTTTGAATATATTATATTTATGCCATTGTAAACTATTTTTGTTTAAATTCGATGCTACAAGCTATTTTTACTTCGAAGAATTTTAAAAGTTGTTTTAATATAGATTTAGAGAATTTACAATGCAGACAGCTTTGCAGTTTTCTGCGCATTTTATTGTACTCTATTTAAAATATATTCAGTGTTAAATAAATTGATATTGTTAAAAAACTTTTCATCAAAGAATTTTCAATCAAACTGTAGCTGTTTCATAGATTTTTCTTTTATTTCTTCGTTTTTAGTTCCTTTTTGTAGAACTTATGGTAATGTTATAAGTTGTACCTTTAATTTTTTAAAGTTGATTTATTTTGTTTTTTCAATTGCACGATAGAATATATATTTCTTAAATCTTATTCATATTTTATATTAATTTTATTCTCGTTTATCGTTCAAATTTGTATCAACTAGTTACTAATGGTCCTCCGTAAGTAGTTGCATAAAATGTTTGAATTCAGTTATGAAACTTGTTGATGAAATTTGATCTCAGCCCGAGTACCATCTCGCGGACGAATGTTGTATCAAATCAGTAAACCACAGATGGTATTTTCTCCAAATAAATCGAATAAGAATAAGCTATGACCTGTAATTATAAATACAAATTGAGTTATGTTACCAGATTATACACGATATTACTAGAAGCGAAAAACGAGAAGATTCAATTTAAGTTTGATAATTTATTAATGACAATTTTATTAATGATAATTTATTAAAAAATAATTAGCGAATCCTACATTTTGTGCAAGTAAAAATAAATGTATTACCAAAAATATCAAACAATTAAAATGACAGGCTTCAAATTTTGTACTATTACAATTGCTAAAATGATACAGGTGTGTTAAGCTAAATTAATGTTGACATTTGTTGAGATAGGAATGTGATTAGGTATATATTCTTACATATTTTTATCATATTATTGCAATAATAATCGCTTATATGTAAAATATTCAGGTATACATTACAACTCGTCAGTTCTTGATGTTAATAATTTATTACTTTTCATACAAATTTGATAAATAATTACTTTTTATGAAAAAGAATGTATTAAATTAGAAATAATTTCAAAACATTTTTTTTAATAAAAATTTTATAATTATTTTTTATAAAAAGTAATATAAATTATACGTTTAAAGCGAATATATTATATTTTATGCTAAAATAAATTAAATTCGTTTCAAAATAACATTTTATATAACAATACGAAGTAAAATGAGTAATTCATTTTGTTAATTTTGGAATATAAAATGTAGTGTTATAATGCAACATATAATGTAATTTTTAAATTCGATATTTCATTTTACACTTCATATTCCCGATTTGCAGCTGATTTTCAATTCTTATTCAGTGTTTGCAGTGCAATTATTTCTGCACATTTACAAATTTGTAGGAAGTGACTTATCCTGTAAATGACGTTTGTTAGAATACTTATAAATCTAAGTTGCTAACCTTGTATTTTTTTTTGTGAGTTTTCCTTGATGTGTTCGTAATTAATTTTAAGTGAAACGCTTTTATCACAACCTTAACTTTTTTTTTTCATTTTTGGTTGAAAAATGTCTGTCTTTTTTTCTGTGTATTCTAATTATTGTTTTGCACTTGGTAATGAACCTTATTTGTAATTTGACTTGTTCGTCTTTTTGCTGTTTTAGTAGAAATTCAGAAAAGTCTATCACGTCAGTTTTTCTGATTATGGTGGTATCTGATTGTTTAATTCTATTTTTGTTACTTTATTTTTGTTCCTTATGCTAGTTCCCGGGTTGGCTATTGACTCTCTTTCATTTATTTTGTTTTTGTTATCGCCAAAGAAAATAGAAAATCTTTAATCCGTTATCTTACATGATCGTATAGTTGTGAATAAATTTTTAATTTTGAAAAAATACAAAGTAATATTAAATAGTTTCGACACAAGCTTTTCTAGGAGATCATAAAGAAAACATTCTTTGTAATTACGAGTCTACACATTTTTAAACGAACATCGATAACCGAATCGAAATCTTCTCGAAATTTTCAACAAACTAGAAGCATTAATTGTATTGTAATTATTAGCAGCACATAGGAAAATACAAAATATTTTCAAGGGAGATTAAAATTGTTTAATAAAAGAAAAAATATAGGAAAATAAAAAATGGAAAATGTTTCGAGTTATCGATTAGAATGATTTTATTCGAATGATTTTTATTTCAAATATCGTAAGCAGTAAATCTTCTGTAGGAGTGAGTATGGAATTAAAAAGCTAATTAAACGATTAATTTTAACATTAGACTAGTGATCAATATTTTGTATAAAATGGATCAACGAACTGAACAATAAGAAACAAATCTTTTTGTTATAAAAAAATAAATTTTATATAAAAAGTTAAGTTGATATAAAATATTACGTGCACTATAATACAGTATTATACGCGTTAAAATATTATATATGTACAATATTATTCTTTGTTTCGATATGATCTATAAATTCTTTCAAAATATTTATTCTTTTATGTTTATTTTATGTTGAATTTTCTTTTTTAATTAATATAAGAGATATTCATCCTTTTAATACAATCATTTTTAATTATCTTAAAATATTACTGAAAATATATAAGAAAATATGCTTTTCGAGATTTTGAATACGAGAGATAATTTTCGAAATTAGTAAGTTATTTTGGAAGTGACTTACAGCAACAATTACATAAAATAAATTAATATTATTTTCTTCCTAAAAGATTACAAATTTGTTAGAGCGCATCGCTACTAAAATTATTAACTTGATTTAACACTTCAATTTACATCTATTTCATAGAAATACTTGTGTAAGTATTATTACAATAGAATTTTAAATAATACCAATCAGGTCACAAATTCAATTTCTCACGATTTTCTATTTAAATCACTTTTATAACATTTGTAAATAGTGCATAAAGTGGATCAATAATAAAAAATATTCCAAATGTAAATAAACAACAATCAGCTAACACGCTGTACCATAATCCATAGTTGATCTCGTATTTTCGGGAAGCCATTTTGAATCTAACACAACGTATTGGCTGCATGTTACATCGTTTACTTTAGAAAAATAATGGTATTCTATTTTTCATAATGATTTTACTCCACTTTTTCCTATAGTGAGAGAGATCAGGTTTGATATGCCAGATCTTCGATGCTTAACAATTAGTCTATAGCCAAGGGCCTGTTCTGGAACTGTATTTTCATACTTCTCTAACCAACGATGTATCTACTAGTACATACGTACCTTCGTCAAATTAAATCGCAACTCCAAAGACCATGTTTTATATATCAGAGCTAAACTAAATCGAATAAAACTATCGAGTTGAAATCGATGCAAGACACTGAAGAGTTATTCCCTGACTCTCACAGTAGATTCTCATCGACACCCCACGATCAGAGCTATCTCAGTGTCGCAGCTAATCCGATTTAAAAAACACCAGGCGTCAAAGCAGGATTTTTGTCGCACCTGTTCAGATAGAGGGCGATAGTGTCAAGGAGAGGGGGTAAGCGCGCGCGAGAGAGAGAGAGAGAGTGAGAGAGTGAGAGAGAGAGAGAGAGAGAGAGAGAGAGAGAGTTCTATCGTTGTTCGGCAATAACCGTCGAATATCAATTAATCGGGTCGACCTATAGACAAGCGTGGATCAGTGCGTGTGACAGAAAACCCCTCGTCGAGAGTCCCCTCGAAGCCGGCATCGCGGCCGCCTTTGAAATATACGCTGTTTGTCCGGAACCCGTCACCAGGGCACAATGAGCCTCGCTCGGGGGTTAAGCGTTGTCGCCTGAAGGGCTATCGATAACTTGTCGTCGCCAAATTACACGTGACCGCACCCGCACGCGCCTCCATCCACCACCCTCTTTTCTTCTACCTCTTTCCTTCTGCTCACACCCCAACTTTCGCCACCTTGTCGTATCTAATCTTTATGAGAACGAGAGTACTCGGAGGACTCGGACGACCAAGAATTAGAGAACTCGCTGGCACGATGGTTGTGCAAAAAGTCACCCCCTACCCGGAGGACCCATTACGCTTGTCAGCTCGATCGAGATACCCCTGTCTGCTCGATGGATTTCGATTTGTTTCGTATCAGGATTTTCATGGAGTGCGTCCTTTGTCTCGCGAATTCGAATCCTTCACGATTACCGGTTATGCAACGGTGCGTGCATTTAGAAGTTTCCACGTACATGTGTACTTATGACGCAGGGTTGTTGCATCAGAGATTGAAAAAAATGGTTTGCTTTTGTAGAGCGTCGGGTTTTTGTTCCAGGTTAGGTCGGGTAGAGTATTTGTGGAAATTGGTATTAATCTATGGATCTGTTTGGTGCAGGAAAACGAGACATGTCGTCGAGGGTGGTGAAGAATCATCCAAAGTTGAATGGCAGCGTGGACGGCAGGGAGACCTGGTCCGGCAAAGTCGACTTCCTCTTGTCTGTCATTGGATTCGCCGTTGACCTTGCCAATGTCTGGAGATTTCCTTACCTGTGCTACAAAAATGGCGGCGGTGAGTGTGTTCAACGTTTTGAAAGCTCTTAGCTCATGCTTCACGTATGTCCTACGTTCGAAAATATGTATGTTCGCGAAATATGTAGAGTCCGGCCGTGTAACATGCAAAAGCGAGATTCACATGATTTCTTATGGAGAAATGAGAAAAAGACGTAGAGTAAGTTTTGTACATTTTTGGCTTGGTTTTTGGGAAAATCCTGTTAAAATATTCACTGTCGGGACATATTTGTCGAGCGACGCATTACGTATATAGTGTATGTATACAAAGTTTACATGGGATTTAAAAGTAATTAACTTTGAGTAAAAACGGAAAGAAAATTTGTAACAAAATTTTACTTTACGGAAAAAATTTTATTTTATCAATTAGAGTATTGCTGGAACTGTTGTCCTCGTTGTCGGATACATACCTGTGTTCGATTAATTATCGATATCTGTTCAGCCATAACAGCATGCATAGGCAACTGATTTTCAAATATGATTTTCTCGAAAATTGGACTAAAAAAGAAAAAATTTTATTTTATATTTTTCTTTTTATTTTTCCATAAAAGATTACGTCGCGTTCGTTTCTGCATGTTATTCGGCCTGACCTTGTATATCTACGTTGAATCGAAATTCTTAAAACGATATAACACGTCGTCGTAAAGAGAAAATCTCAAAATAATATCAGTAAAAGTAGAAAATAGTTTAGCTATCATGGTGACGCTAATGTACTCGATGGAGTCTTCTTACGACTGTCATAAGCAACAAGTGAATCAGCGTTACATCTAAAACTATAATAGTTTGCTGCAGATTTCTATTCTTTTTAAAACAAACGTTGAAATCAAAATTCTTTGTTGAAAAATTAAAGGACAAAATTTATCTTAAAATACTAGAGGATATCTCTGTTGACACGAATTCACGTTAATAACTCTGAATGTATCAAATAATATTATCAAATTCGATAATATTAATTAACAAAAAATTGATAAATTTATGTTCTATCAGAGTTTGGAGTTCTCATAAATTCGTCAAATAATGATAGAATCAGTATTAATTATATAAGTGCCAATAAATAAAAACTTCTTTAACATAACTAATCGCGAAAGACTGTTTTATATGAACGAGATACTCACCATGATTTACATAATCATTAGTTGACTCGAAGTAAAATTTACATACCCGTATATATAATGTATATACCTGTATTTCATCTTTTATAATTAGAATTATAAAATATGAGCAGATAATCAGTAAAGCAATGATATTATTTGTAATTCGTTGTAATTTATATAATTTGAGAGTTTAAATTAAATATTTATTCTAAGTGAAAAATTTGTAAATTTCTTCTGAACGAAACATGATTCCTCAACATTAATAAGAATAATACATTCCTGATTTCATGAATTTTCATCACCTTCGTTTTAGCAGACATGAATCATAATCTTTTGCATTCGCAATCATTTAATGCAGCTGTTTTCAGTCTTTTGCATATTAGAGGAGTATTTTGCATTATTTCAGTCGTATAGTGGTTTTTCCTCCACGTATTTCTAATATTCTTCTATCACGTTTTTCCTTCATGGTTATTAGTTTCACCTCTATAATTTTTATCCGAAATGTGATAATAACAGATGTCGTTTTCTCGAATTACTGCATACGTAAGAATATTAACAAGTATGCGATGTCGCAACGATGAGGTCGTTTTCTAATCATCGACTCTACGCATCACGGTTGATTGAAGATTACCAGGGAGTATATTTTCAGCGAATAAAACGTTGGATTATTCCTTTTCCAATTTAGAAAATAATACGGACAAATTCTGTCGATTCAACGGAATGCAAATTTTTACGTAAAGAATATAAAGTATATAAGAGAGAAAAGAAAAATGTAGTTTCTTCTGTCAGATTTATAATCTGTTTCTTAATTAATGATTATAACATCATAAAATTGGTTTTGAAGGAGAAACGAAGGCTTGAAAATACTTTTCAGGAAAAATTATTTAAACATTAAAAAATGTAAGTTTATTGTTTAAAAGTTTATTTAAAAATTTTATTTAAAATATTTAAAAATTTTTGATTTTATAAATTGTAATGAAAATTATTCAAAAATTGCAATAATCGCATTTTAATTATATGATGGATTTATGATAATAACGGAGACCGGGATATGAAAAATTTCGGAAATAAACAATTCCAGTAATACTAAACGATATATAAATAAAGGATACGTTTTATATAATTAAATATTAATATACTATATTAACAATATGGTGTATATAATAATCATAAATTTATAAGATCTTATATAATATACAGTTATTTGTAAATTTTTATATAAATGTAATAAAACACTTACATTTATAATAAACATTAAAACTATGTGTTTCAAATGATAAGCTATACATAACAAAAGAGAAGTTTCAAGATTTATATTCATAGTGCATTAATTAGAAGAATCATGGTGCTAGTATAACCATTAGAAAATTTTAGTATGGTTGTTATAGTAACAGAAGATGGATAAATGTCATATTGATATTTTTTATTTATAATTGAACCTCTTATTATATTTAAAATATTTTTTTGTTATACTCTTGAGATTTTTCTTTCTACATATACAATATTGTTACAACATCAACAATATTGTCACACGCATATCTAAATATTTATTATACTTATATTTTTATCACTATATTTATATATTCAAAATATTATTAAAATAAATCCAAGTAGCAATTTCTATATTTTGAGAATAAGTCAAATTTTTCTGTAATAAATTAAAAATCCTATACTAGGTTACCATTAATTATACCATTAATATATAATATACAGTTAATTTAAATAACTAAAAGTTCACATAACGCGAGTTATTTATTTCTAAATATCAATTTCTAAATATTAATTTCTAAATAAAATAACTTCATTATTTTTCTCGTAATCGAGCATTTTTATTTGGATGCCCTGGCACGTTATCAGTTTGTATCTAGCAGCATTGTAAGGAGTTATTTCGCAGCTGCAATGGGGGATGCATCAAGTAATGCACTCCGGCAGCCAGGCAATACCGCGTTAACCGGTCGAGTAATTGGCATTTACCTCGTGGAAAATGACCCTGAGATTTAGATTTCACCCTAGGCTTCTTCTTATCCGTGAAAGCATCTGCAGGACTCAAAATTGGCCCAAATTAAAGCGAAAGAGCAATTTAAGAGTCACGCACCGACTCGGGAGATTGCATCGTCCACGTAGATTTAATTCTTACCCCAGTTATGTCGTGTTTTCGATTTAGCACTTTGGTTAAGTCGTATCATCTTCCTCGACGTAATCGATGTCCTTCGCTCCTTCTTATTAAAACGACGTTATATAATTCATATTCTAGCTTTAAAAAAGTTTACGAGTTTAGAAGACCTTGATATCTAAACTCTCGTTTTATAAAAATGGAAATAACAATATAAAATTAAATATTTCCTGTTTCTGTAATTACAAAATTCCAAGTATTTTTTCGATGTCAAGTTCCTTAAGAATATACGATGGTATATGATCATACTAATCGTGATGATTCTGACCATGTTGATACTAATACATTTTTATTTTTGCCATACAAAATATTATAAACGACTAAGGTTAATGTAAATTTTGTTTTCAACCTTGACGGCTTTTTAAACGTCATTTTTGAATATTTGACGAGTTACGTTTATTAACGCGAATATAGAAATTTGATCAAATCAATCGCAATTTAGCTTCTGTGAAATTATTTTAACCGTCATCTATTTCTTTTACTACAAAAAAACAATGACTCAATTATGCTTTTATTATGTTTATTTTTAATAATAATATTTTATAAAAAAAACTATTTTATGCTTGTTTTTCTACTTTTAACAATTATACATGATATAAATTTTTCCTTCCATTAAGTTTCAATTTAATTAATTTTCAGCAAAGATATTTGATTAAAAAATATATGATTTTCAGGTTCAAAAATTAAGTAAAACTTATAATCGCGTAATCACGTATAAAAACAGTTAAAATATTATTTCATTATTGCTAACAAGCCCAACAACAAGTAAGAATAATCGTCTTCCACTTTTCCACGTTATTATCGGTTTAAATTACATTTTACATCGTACGATGTTGATGGTAAATCAAACGCCTTTCGACACAACGTAACTCGTCACCCTTTTGCAAACCTTCTAACAACAACTCTCGCAAGCAACTCCACGACTTGGAAGACTGGACTCATCGACGACGACGGCGATGACGACGCTATTAGCCCTGTTCTATCGAGTCCCTCGTAGGAATACGATTAGGACCAGCTATCAGCGATACGGGGCCTCCTCAAAAGCGGCTGCTAACTCAATTAAGAGGAGAGTAGGGCGCACCATTAGTACCGGCAAGATCGGTCGCTAATTTCCAATTACCTTAATTAATTATAATTTCCCATTCGGGCCGGCCTTTGATCATGGACGTCCGCGACGCCTCTGCCTGCTGCATGTCACCGTACGCGATCCATTATGTCGCATGATTTCGTCCTACGTTTCGCGCTTCTTCTTTGCGGAAATTTGCGAATTTCCCACGCGGTTTCGCTGCTATCATCTTCGCATCGTTAAGAGAAAAATTCTCTAACGACGCGATTGAAATAAAATTCTATAAACTGGGCATTATACGCTTACTGAAAAAGGTTAAGGAAACAAAATGATCATTCGCGAAATTTTTTGTATTCTTTATCTTGCGACATTCAAATGCTTTATCTTGCACGATTCAAATTAAGAAAACGTTGCTACATATTCGAAAAGGATATATGTATTGGATGTTATCTCTTCGAAATACTTCTAATTTTAGTATATATATTGTATTTCATAATAGAAGATAAAGAATAGATAAAATTTGCGAATGATTGTTTTGTTTATTAAATTTTAGCAGTAAAGGCACATACAGATATTTTTTAGATAACATAATAGTTGGGTTTTGAAGAAATAGTGTCTTTTGCGAAGCCATGTTACATGGAATAGAGGGATAGTACAAGAAGTAGGGT